TCCTGGGTGTAGGTACATGTCCTGGGTGTAGGTACATGTCCTGGGTGTAGGTACATGTCCTGGGTGTAGGTACATGTCCTGGGTGTAGGTACATGTCCTGGGTGTAGGTACATGTCCTGGGTGTAGGTACATGTCCTGGGTGTAGGTACATGTCCTGGGTGTAGGTACATGTCCTGGGTGTAGGTACATGTCCTGGGTGTAGGTACATGTCCTGGGTGTAGGTACATGTCCTGGGTGTAGGTACATGTCCTGGGTATAGGTACATGTCCTGGGTGTAGGTACATGTCCTTGGTGTAGGTACATGTCCTGGGTGTAGGTACATGTCCTGGGTGTAGGTACATGTCCTGGGTGTAGGTACATGTCCTGGGTATAGGTACATGTCCTTGGTGTAGGTATATGTCCTGGGTGTAGGTGCATGTCCTGGGTATAGGTACATGTCCTGGGTGTACATGTCCTGGGTGTAATAAATAAAAACAAGAAATAAGAATTGTTGGCTCAAATACAAGAATATTGGAAGCGATGATAAAAGGTACTATTAGATGTTTGTTTTGTGTAGGGTCTTGGGATGATGGTTACAGGAACACTACCAGTATTCTACAGACCTAATGTGATCAAGAATTGTACCTCAGTAAGTCAGTCATTTATAGTTTATGATAAGACTGCTAAATCAGGGCTACAGAAATATCAACCAAAAGGACGATGATGATATGAGATGGTACACTGAAACCATGAACACATGATTTTTGTAGAATGAAGTCAAAAAAACCCTATGAAATAGATTTTACGCTTACTGTACGCCTCAGCATGGTCTAATTGCATTGTWTTCTTTTGTGTCTACTTGACCACAGTTTAATGACTTCACTGATCATAAGATAGTGCTATATTGTAGTGAATTATGCCAATTCCTATGATAGTTTTGATATGATTCAATAAGACAGTAATAATGGCTTTGGTACTTATGTATTTCAGAAAGCTCAAAAGGAAAGCTATGACCATCTGATTGGTGTTGCTGGTACTGATGTACCATTGAGAAACCTTCATGAGTTCTTTTTACAGCCTTTGGTAAGACCTTCTCATTTCAAAGCTAGTGTAATTATAGTATAGGTTATTAGTTACATAGTTGGGAAAAAATGAAGGAAATTCATTGTTGTAACAGGACATAGCCATATGTTTTCTACTGATAATGATTTGGTTTTGTTTGGTTTTCTGGGTTGTTGTTTGTGTTTTGAGGGATGGTTATAGRGTACTGAATCACATAAGTTTTGAAAATARAGTATTTTTKGATGTCATCACTATTTCAACAAATGTTAAGTTCTGATTGACACTGGACCTACGGTATCTAGTGGCTATGGCCCTTTTGTGTAAAAAGTCATAAAGATTGTTGCACCTGTAGTAACTATAACAATATGTTGTTGGTTCTTTGTAAGTGATGGACAGATGTAAATGTGGAAATCCCAGAACTTCACAATAAATAACRATTAGATTGAAATAGGGACTGGTGCCTAGTTAAAATCTTGTCCTTGAGTGTGTATTCAACCAGACAGGCTCAAACTTACAAATATAACTAATTGTAACAGTGGTCTTTCATGCGGTGGTTTAGTTTTTAGTGTTTCATACTTATTYMCAGTTATGTGCCTTATGATTCTAGAAGTATTTTTCAGAATTTTGCAATTTTTAAGTCATCATTAAATTTTTGTTTTGAATAAGTTCAATATTGCTTAATTAAGTCAATGTACTGATGTTTAGTACGTTAACGGGTTCTTTTCTCCCTTTAGATGGGTGACAATGGTTATGCTTTAGTTGTCAATAATAACGGTTTAGTGGCCTTCCATCCAAGACTCAAAACTGTAGTAAGTACTATATGGTTATAAATTTCAATGAAATACCAGGAAATCTCTAACTTGAAAAAAATACTATCTTTAACATGTGAAAACATGTTACAATGGATACTCCATATAAAATTGTCCTATTTCTTGCTTTTTCTGGCTTATAGATATATAAGTTTTCATGAACAGGTAATTACTGTATAAGTTGCTCTAATAGAAGTTGGTGTTTTTTCCTTACAGTACGGCTACTTGCCTAATGCACCTGGCGTTGATCTTATAGATGCAGAATTCCCTTTGGAGAAAGACAAACTCATCGAGGTATCTTTACAAATTCTAGAAAGTAACAGCTTTTAAGTCAATGGGGAGAAGTAAACAAAGGCTGTTTCATATCAATCAAAAAGTACTAGAGTCTCCAGGTGTTCATTTCGTCACCTCACAAGTTAGTGTGGATCCAGAAGGGTGATTTGTGTGGCTAGATACCCCCTTTCAATAAAGAAAAGAAGAAATAAAATCTGAATAGGAATCATCCTAAGAAATGTTGTAGTTTATCTGAAAGAAATTTTTATCCATTAAMAGTTTTGAGTTCGCCAATCCCCGTTTGTAAGATTCTGAATCCAGCACTGACTGAACACCAACTAATCAAATTATTTCATYCAACTTTCCAGTTATTAGATGCATGTCAAGACTATTCATTGAGTATTTAAATTATCACATAACATTTATATGACATCATCCACTAAGGGTACACACCGAAATCCCTTTTTTTAACAAAGTTTGACAATGATCTGAAACCGTGGCAAAAGAACTTGTGCTAGAAAATGTTGCAAAAAGTCAAGTTCATGTAGTCCACTAATTTCAATAATTGTTGATTGTTTGGTCATTATACAGCTGCGAAGGGATATGGTGGACAAGACGTTTCTTACGTCTAGTTCCAAGCCATCACAGCATTCCTTTGAGGTCTATGACGTTTCAACAGATGAGGTATGTAACGTTTCASTATGGGAAGTCTGCATGCAAGTTCCTACTATCAGCAAAATAGTACAGACATATGAATCCATTTTTATTGGTTAATAAAATAAATGATTCACAAAAGTACATGAGACTTTTATGAATTACTCAAAACCAAATACTAGATTGATTTGGCAAAACTCAAAACCTTCGCCCTATGATAGGTGAAAAAAACTGCCATCTAAACCTTASTAGGCAGCATTACATTTAATAAACAAACACAATTTCAGTTTTATGTAATGTTGTTTTACATATTCAGGCTTACCTATTGTCCCTCTCGCTTGTTATTCTTTGGAATCCATTGACTTTYTTATTTTTGTACCTTGTAGCTTCGTGTGGTCAAGAGAAGGCTCCATATATACATTGACAGCTTGAAAGGAACATCATTCAGGTTACCTTGATCAGCTTAAACAAAGATACTCTCTGATCCTTAAACTCAAGGAATTGAAATTTTGACCAAAATAAACATGGAACATCATACAGTCAATCTTGTTACTGTTGTTCAATTGTTCAATTCATTTTGTAACGCCGTTTAAATGTAGTTTAATGGAAACAATGCGGTGTTGGTATACACTATACAGTATTCAACCTGTATCTGTATGCAGTACACTTGTTTGATATAACTGAATCCTGCTGTTTGTGACACTTTTCTAAATTTAAGACACAAAGGCACTTACATTAAAGCAACATTAAAAAATAAGCAATAAACAACACATTTTCGTGCTTCCTGGTGAAATAAACCACGTAGGATGTTGGAAGAACACGAAAAAGGCATAAAAAATCTCAAAATCAATTATTTTTTCTATTCTTTTAGCTTTGGTATCGCCACACCAAAATTGGGCTTCAAATACAAGTTTCAATCAGATGTTTTATTAGGTAAAGTATCTCTTGAGATAATTGCAGTTTTGGCCATTTGGGTGCGTGAGAAAACTAGTCCTTTATAAGTAAATACTGTCTGTGGTCGAGATACTRAGAAATGTTCTGATAGATTTTGTTCTTAAGTGATTCTACTGGCTGCAACGGATCTTATCAATGRTCTGGTCAGTCAGCTCATACATGTGGAGTTCCCTCTCATGAGCTTCTAGACACATGACATGTATTTCAAAACAGTTTTGTTCTGCTTTTTTTTATTTTGTATTGTTTATTTCTGTAGGGGAAATCGCAAAGGAATTAAATTCTTCCAACCTGTCTCTGGARAAATGGTAAATATTGACACTACTACTATGAAAAACTATGGAAAATGAAATTGTTTGATTTGTCTTTGCAGGCCGTACTGTGAGTGGACATTTTCTGCTGACAATCCTGTTGATCACTTGAAGACTATAGACTTTAAAACTGTAGACTCTAGTAAATGTAAGTGATTAGCTAGTCCCCAGTCCATATTTTATCAGGTTTTTGATTGACTATCTTTGGTTTGGAAGTGTCAACATATATCATTGAGCCATTTCAATRAGACTAGTTTTTGCAACATTGTGTTTGAAAATGTTTTGCCATTAATTAAAGTTCAGGATTGACGACCAGAAGTGAAATAAGTGGACATTTTAAAATTCCGCACAAATGTTATGTTTGTTTTAGGTAACATGGATTTGGTAAAAGGACTTGCTGTAGATCTTAAAGCTACTTCTGGCATTCCAAATAAATGGACAGTGGATAAAAGGTACAAAACTACTCTCATGTACGCCTGATCTCCTTTTAGTTAATCACTGTAAATTTATCCATAAGGCAACCAAATTAATTTCTGGTCAAAAAGCAATTGAAAATAAAAATAAATGAAAAAAAATAAATGAAGTAACGTCAACCTAAATAATTTCATATGCAAAATAACGGAAGAGGTCATTCATTTTTAACGGGGATAAATTTAACTTTTATATTGAATGTTTTTACTAACGTGCATATGGTCTCCATTTAGATTGAAGTCTGTCTTTGTCAGGACTAACTATGGAGTGACAAGATTATTACCATGTTCATCGTGCAGGTATCATACAGTCACACGAGACAACAACAACGTCATTTGCATATATCAAACTTTGAAATTCTTTTCTTTCTCGAAATTATTTTCAAGAATATTCAAAGTAAAATTCCATGCGACATTCCTAAATGCATGACATTGTCAATAGAATTAAATCCGCTATTTACCTGGAGATGTAAACTAAAATCCTTCCCTTCTGTTTTTTGTGTTAAATATATTAAATATGTTTTTATGTTTAGTGGTGATGGGAATTACAGACCCAACCAGAAAGACATTGGTCGTTTGACATCATTTGATCAACAGTCTATTGTTTATACTTCGCCTTATGATCAAGGTTAGTAAATTATTCGTAGTACGCGCTCTCTGATTGGTCAGATGTTAGTTTTTATTTCACCGGCAAAAGCATGGATGCGAAAATGCTATAATATAAAAGCAATAAACAACATATTTTCGTGCGTTCCTGGTGAAATAAACCACTTGRGATATTGGGAATACACTGAAAGTCTAAATCATGTGGCCAATCATGTTGCTTRAAATCACAGGGTGTCTTAGAGCCTTTGAATTTTCGTCGGAAAATGAAAGAGGATCCGAGTACAAGAACGTCTCTCAATATGTTTAATATTTATAATATTTTGTYAGGTCGAAGGGCGAGAAATTCATCATCTGTCATAGCATTACAGAAGGTTTTGTTCAAGAACCAAACAGTAGGAGGTAAAAACAAGAAAAACATTTCCATTATTTTGTCATGTGTTTACTCCTGTGTCAAAAMCTCATCATTTCATGAAAAAAGACTGACTAGCTAAAAACAAGAAATGCCAACAATAAATGTCCTCAAGTGCTCTTGGACCGTTAAAAATCTAACACAAAAGACGAAGGAAGAAAAATTTTATTGGAATCATAAAATGTTTTTAAACATTTTATATCAAACAGATGCAATGGGCAATATGCATCGACGGCATTTTGTGCAACAAAGGATGATGGTACTTGTAGTCCTCGTACTTTTTAATGTCCGCTAAAACAGTCCTCCTGCCCAGTTTTTGCTTTATCTAAGCGAAAATAGAAGTATTTGTGCCGTTTTTAAAAAGAGTATGTAAAAACGGCTTTTAAGGAGATATTTTAGGGACTATGAAAAGTGCGAGAACTACAGCTACCATCATGCTTTGCTGCACAAAATGGCGTCGTTGCACATTGCCWGTTGATGATTATTTTGGAGATTCAAATGTTTTGCTGGTATGTGACGTAAGCGTTTCGATATGTAGAGTATAGTACTGCGACTAAATTATTATCATTAATCAATGATGTATTTGATTTATTTGTACACCAGTCGCTGGCTATGAAATGCAGTCAAGTTATTTTGCTCAACTAATAGTGGATAGAACGAAAAAGGTTAGTCTGTTAACAAATATGGAACTACACTCTCTTTGTAGTGCGCATACTCGACAACMTTTTTGCATAAATCAATCATGGGATGCTAACTTTTTATTTTGCGTTGGCACGTTTTTCAGTTTAAAAAAAACATGAATTTGTTTGGATATATCATGATTCACTTGATCACTAGTTATCTGTGTTACCATAAATTTCTTTCTAAAACATTTAACAATTATTCGCCGAAGGCGAAGTGATTATTATGTACTTATTGACTGAGTGGGAGGGCCGTACGGGAAAATATTCGGCTCGAGGTTATGCCGTACAAATGACCGAGAGCCAAATATTTTCCCGTACGGCCCGACCTAACTCAGTCAATAAGCATTTTATCATATGACAGCGTTTTTTAATGTAAAAAAATAAAAAAATAGCGCGCGGAACTTCAAGCCGGGAAAATACGGGTTTGTACGGACCTGTCGCGAAAAGGCGTACGGACCCCATCACGTGACCATTTTCCAAAGGTTTCAGTGAGAGCGCGCGTAGGGCCGAAATACGGGTCATATGATAACAATGAATATTTACCGAGCGGCGATTCCGCGAGCCGCGAGGTATAATAAAGCTGACAGTAAATTCAGACTTGTTGAAACCATTCTGTCAAAAAATATATCGAGTAAAATGTAAACAAACCAGCGAAAACCTACAAATTTCAGCCTGTTTGACGTAAAACGAGTTTTAGACAAGGTTTTTATTATTAAATAAACAAAACTTACCTGTAAAAAGTTTTAATCCAATTTTTTTTATCCAATTGTTTAATCCAACGACTCGCGGACGACGCCATTTTGCGAAAAAATCCAATATTCACCTATAGGTGAACATCGCTCATTGAAGCGTCAAATTCGACCAATCAGCGCGCTAGAATTATGATATTCACTTATGAAATTATACTAAATCTTGATAAAGACCGGAGCTTCTGAAGCCGCGGCTACAAGAGCCACATCGTGCGCTGGTGATTTTGAGAAAATCACATCGCCTGCGACTGACCTAAGAAATGATCAACAAATTAAAACGCATACTAACCTCTCAATGAAAACAACACTTTGCCCAAACTGATTCCAGTAAATCACATTCAACACTTTCATATTTTTAATAGAAAAATGTTAAATGTACTTTTTGTGTWTGTATTTAGTGTTCTTCTTCCAACTGTGCCGACGTAAATTGCGACAGAACAGGAAAGAACGATGTAAGTGAAAACATGATCTTGCTTTACTAATAACCATATCTGGATTGATGATACTGAGTCAGTAGTTTTCCTTCGGAGTATTCGGAAGAATTCTACTAAGTTGACTATTTTTATATTGCATAACTATATTTATATTTACAAAGTTGAAACATTTGATGCAAAATACAGATGATTTCAAAACAATTATTTGATATGAACAACAGAAAGTCATTTATTACTTGTGCCCAGGCTACGCCGGCACGAGGTATAAAAGCAACGCGTAGTGGTTTGATTTTCAAGTCGAAAGTTTTTGTTCGGGACATCCGATTGCCCTCCGATCTATTTCCGACGTGACGTCATCATAATACCCTCTAGTAGTTAAAGCCTGCCCAATGTACCCAAACATGTTATTATACGGTCCATTAATACAAAACAATCATTTCGATAAGCTGATGCTGAAATCCATTTTGAAGTCTTTTAACTTCTTAGTCAACAAATCAAAATAAATGTTTATTAGCAGTTCACTGCTTATTGTTTCATCTATTGAGTAAAGTTATTTTTGAATTGGTTGTGTTTCAGCATGAAGGGCTGTATTGTTATCTTCTTGATGAAAATGGTTTTGTAGTCTCGTCCAACACAGGAAAAGTAAGGAGATTTTGAACAGTTTATGCCTGTCATTTATAAATCATGTGCTTGCACCGATTGTATAATGATTAAAACTTGATTATCTTGTTCTGTTTTTTTCCTGTGTTTGCACTACACCATGATCCTGTTCTTCGTGTTTTGTATATAATGGATGGATGATATTTTCTTTACGCACTAGTCGAGTGGAGTGTTCTTTGGTAAAGTCGACTACACCATCATGAAACAACTTATACGACACAATGACAGCTCGTCAACTGGCTTTTACAACAAGTAAGATTTACTAAAAATGTCCCTTCATTACCCTTCACTTAACATTCCATCATTCAGAACATCCACCGTATTGCGTGCTAATCTTGCCTTTGTCTTACATTGTATAGTGCGAACAATAAAAATAACCGTGAAGCACTAATTGTACGAAATAGCCTTATTAATTTATTCTTGTGCAAATATTAATTCTGCAATGGGTTACTTATTTTAATTACCGGCATGTAAAGAATGATATAGTACCCTACCCTGGTCAGGCAATCGGCGGTACGTTACATTCCCTTTCGGGGTCATGCTAACACTTTGAACAGTTAGGTGCGCGATGATTGGCTGATCACTGTTCTATAATTCAGCAAGACTATAAACGAGTATTTTTTGTGAAATATAAAGAAATGATTCTAACTCCCMAATATACGGGAGGGCACGGCGTATCCAARAGTGACACTGAAGTAGATTGTATATTCAAGCTGTTTATTGTTGATTTTTTTTGTAGATTCACATTCACTGATTATCAGGCTGTGTGCGAACAGAAAGCTGGCATCGCTAGTAGAGGCACATCGATATTCACGGTGAGTCAGCTAGTACTGGTGGTTTTCTGTCTAATGTTTGGGGTCACACAAACGGTTTGTGTAGTGGCCTCGGTCTTGCTTATTTCTATCTCTATCTATCAGTCTACTACTGATTTGTTATTTTTTCATGTTTACTTGGGAATGTACAAGTGTAGCGCCCACGCCCCTGTACGATCTCCTGTTTACCTCACTTTTGATATTCAATTCATCTGTAGCCGATGTTAAGCGTCTCGTCGTACGTTAACTGGTGGACGAGCAAGGCCTGGTGGTGAGTATTGTAATGAACTATTAATCAGCTCTATATCAGATATAAAGAAGTAATGTTCAGTTGAGCCCATCAGCGCTTTATTGCAACCCAACACTAACAAYACTTCGGTTTTGAATCAGTTTGAAGCCGTTTACAGACGTGAACTTAATTTCGTTCTTCCATGTGGGATCGAAATCATTATTGCTTTCATGTTCTTTCAGTTTTTTTTATATGGATTACACTTTCTGGAGTATAGAGTCGTAGTTYTTTATAGAACTCTTATCGGCTATCAGATAGATCCTCCAATGTCTGAAACACAAACAATAATGGCTTTGCGTTCTTGTTTTGCAGGTTTTTAGCCTACTTTAATGTTTACAGGTTAGTGTTTTATCTGTCCATCTACTCGATTCATCATCTAGAGTACAAACACTAATGAAGACATGAAAAAGTTCAGTTATTAGATGTTTATTCATTTATTTGTTGTGTTTGTTTATACTTGCCGTGTATTGTACGTCATAGATAAAAAAAACTATCAAGTATTATGTATAAACCATTAATCGGTCATGTCTAATCATTTTATAGCTGGATGATGAGTACAACTAAATCTTTCGCAGGTATTTATATCAATGATTAAGGTTATTATRTCTGCATACAATACCTTAAARGTTKTTAAATATTACGCCTTTGTGCCTAGCCATCGTTTCCAAACCTACAAAGTTGGTTTCTTGTATTTTGGGGTTTGTGTTTAGCATATTTCTTACAGAGTTAACGTCAAATTAACAGTTATTCCACGAGAATGTGCGACGARATTGAGTGGAATAACTGTGTTATTATATACACAATCACTGGATTATTAGAAAACACACTGAAYTCTAAAGAGCAGAGTAGATGTACCTACAGTCGCGTCAGTGTAAAATACCGATTCGGATATTGTAAACTAGAGCCAATCACTCAGGCAGTGGCTTTACCGTGCCGCTTATTTGAGCTGAAACTCAAGGTTTTTTTGACCACGTCTCACACCCTATGATTAACAAAAACACTCTCACAGGTGTTGTATGTGTTTGTTTGAATGACATTGAGTCAAAACTCAAAGAATWATAGCAGATTTTCTAATAGTCAAATAAATCTTACATATAACGGTCAAGAAATGATAATGTTTTATTTAAAAATAAAATCGCGTTTGGTTAACTTATGGCATTTGTTTGACTGYCCTTGATGTACGGTAATATGCCAAGCTTTATCTAAGATGTTAATGCTATTTTGCAGTTGCATCGGAAGACCAACCAAAGAATGAAAGTTGTATCAAGGAGGTCACAACTTACTATGCTGAYTMTTCCAATGTTTTACGCAACGGTTCGTTCAAATATTTGTTRATTCACTTCCATATTGTTTATATTTTGAATTTGGATGTAAACAAACTACACCATTTCTCTATTGACGAGATAGAGTAATGCAGTTTTTCTATTTTTATTTTTTATTGAGTAAATGATTCAATTATTGTAGGTTCTGCACAACTGGATAGCTGTGTAAGGTGAGATAGGTTGATATTACTATTGCTGTTATTTTCTATTTGTTCAAGTGTTTTCTTGTTTTGTAGAGATTATATTGTAAAAAGTGTACCGCAAAGTAACCTATTTSTAGTCGTTATCGATGCTAAATGTGGACTTAATAAAGACCCACCACGTGATATGGACATACCTGGTGAACCTAAAGATGATATCCTTTAATACTCACATCTAGTATAATACAGATATTTCAGCCAAACATACTGCATAGTGCATTCCAATGCATTGTTGCTATCAAACTCCACGTTAGCTGTTTGACTCCTATTCTAAGCTAAATTGCTTTCCATTGAAGTTCTTGAACACACGGAGCTGATATTGTCGCTCCGAAATCACGAAAACTTRAAGGTATTTCAGTCTTGGAATGCACTATCTTCAGTATTGAAATAAGATAGATTTTACACCGTAAAAGTAAGTGAAATAACTTACTGATGTTTAGGCAATAAGCCTTCTTTGGAGTAGAGTGTTGAAACATTTCATTACGTCACTCCGACGAATGATTTACGTCAGTAAGTTTTTTCACTTACTCAAGTAAGTTCTGCTAATCTTGGGCACAGCCTCAATTTTATTCTCGTAAAATATTGCCATTGTATCCCTTTGGTAGGATTTGTAGCTATTACTATTGCCGTGTACTTGAAATGCTGTCAGTCCAGCCATTTAGTGGGTTGACCACTGCATCTAGAGAGATTTTTATAGACTTTTAATCTCATGCAAGTTTGTGTTGCACATTACTTTTGAGTTGAGCTTATTTTATCCATGAAATCCCTAATCTATTACTGAGAAAATCACTACGTTCCTTGACGTCTTTCTACTTAAGACTAAAGTAAAATGCCAGACCACACTGCATAGGAAAAGACCTCAAAGATGCTTCACATCAGATTACGCAGTAAGTACATAACTGTTTTCTTGTCGTTTCTGACCACCTAAACGCTGTTGTATTGTCTTTGCGTAAAAGTATCCAGACTGTTGATAACAATCCATTTTTCTTTGAAAATCAGAAAAATTAAAAGAAAGTGAAAGGGAATGTGCTTGTGCATATTTCTTTACTGGTCCATTCATTATGCCAAAGCTCAGTTAGATGTATATATTTATTGTTAATTTTTGGAGTCTCAATTCAATATTCAAATTAATGTTAGTTGCAAATTTTCTCTGCCTTCAACATCCTCGTTTCAATACTTGGAAACAAATATGAGGTACTTTCATTCAGGTCAAGAATGACTTTCACTGTCTGTGAAAAATAACCCATGTATGATTTCGACAGCAGGTTTTTGTTTGTGAAAATGGTGCAAAAACATTATCAGTGATGCCCTTCATTCATTGTTCGACCTTGCATATCTTTCTTTTTAAAATTTGGTAGGTTATCTGAATTGAGACTTCTGAAATTGTTAAGGGATATTAAAACAGATTTCCCACACTACTAAATTTCGTATGGTAACTACAACTCTCGAAATGGATACAGCTCTTTTGGATTCGTTTCCACGTTATTTTCTGACTTCCTGTATGTATTTTATGGATAAAATGGCGAATGTCAATGGTCGAACGGCGATTGCACGACCGAAAGTAGTCATGGGTTTTGCTAGTTGAAAGGCAATAACAACTGATTTGTACTGTAAGATTGTCTGTGGTAAACATCGGTTCCATTTAGTCTCCATTTCTATGCAAGGTGATTCCAATAAGTGAAATTTTGTTTATCAAAACAGTGTAACCATAGTCCCTTTCGGTCGTGCTATCTCCCTTTGACAATCGCCGTTGGCCGTTCTCCCCGACAACGTTTTTTGAAATAGGTGTATACCAAAACATCATAGTGTAGTGAAACACGTCCTCCTCCAAACACTGCGTCATTCTTGTTTTTCTTTTAGGAATCTGAGTACCCTCCTGGGCATGGAGTACGAATCGGACCATCAATGTGGCTAATTGTTCTTGCGGTAACGTTGTCTTTGCTGATGAAGAGGCATGTTTGACGGCCTTGACTGTGGCAACGATGCTAACACGCTATTGTAATGACAACACTGTGGCAGCTTCAGGCGTTTATGTAAATATTTCTTATGAATTTTGAAGATTTTTACAGTGGTCGTTTCAACCGGGAATATATATGAATGATGACATTGGGTATTTTGAGCTTTTCATAATATATTAGAAACGTTAGATGGTATAAACAAGATAAAAGTTTAGAGATTTTACCCTGCGTGTAGTGCCAGCAGATTTGCTCGCAGGCTAAATCCTAGAGTCCAAACGAACATCCCAATGGTCTCAAAAGCGTTTTGGTATTGGTCTAACTTGCTCGAGGGATTTAACATCAATGGCAAAGACGCTTTTCCTGGCGATTGGGACGATTAGGGCTATTATAGAGCGGATTTCGTATGAGTAGGAAACGGACGGTACTRTACTGTGACCGTAATCGTACTGTAASCAAATTCTAGTGCCCCATTGGTTCACAAAAATTGTGCAGGCCAGGTCCGGTAACTGTGYGGTAACCGTGCGGTAACGGTGTCCCACTCATACGAAATCCGCTCTATGAGGCATGAGGAAGCCTSTTCACTGCGCTTGTATTTTATTATAAAAGCAAACTTTAAACTTTTGTTCAATACTCATGGGATTAATTTGCCGATCAAACACGTGCAATGGAGACGAAATGGTTTTCACCCATTCCCATGACATTCAAAAGATAAAAGACCGGCGGCCATGTCGGAGGAATGAACAATAGATACTAATGAGAAATCCTTTGTTGAAGTTACTCCAAGATGGCCGCTGTGACGTATAGTGAAAACGAAGAATTGTTATAGCTGTTATAGCTGGACAAGGGAAATTTGCTCATTTTTGATAATCTAAGAATTCTATTTTCTATTTTATTTAATCCTAGAAYAATATAGTGAAGTACAATGTGTTTATAAAAGGTTGCTGCGAAGATAACCATCCTAGTGCAAGTGTCAATACAATCGTTTGAATCGCCAACAATGATCTATCGTACGATTCCATATATGGATGTACATRTACATAGTTACTGATGCGCTCGTGGTTCCACTTGAGTGTTGAACATTTTATGACGTCAAGAGTGTGTCAATAAGGACATACGACTCAAAACCATGCTCTATTTGTTAAACATGCATTATTAATGAAGCTTCAATGTTTACATGRGAGGCCTTACCCATATGTGGAAAAAGGACAAGAGATCCTACTCTCGAGGAATGCAAACCGCATTTAGAGGCGATTGGGAAGATTGTATGGATACTTATTTTGCTTTCCCCAGAGAAATGAAAACAAAAAGAGTGTCTCCTTAAGCAGCCCTTTTTCATGGCATTGTACATTCTCAAAGATAGTGTGAGAAAGAGCAACCATTCAAAGTTGCTTTGAAAAAGCGTTTTTTCTTTTTGTTTCTTRTCTTTGTTTTGTCGTTGTTTTTTATTCGCCTCCTGGCGATCAAATTATAGCATCATGCATATAGACACAGCACTGAGAATTTAAAGGCCATCTTCATTTTTCCCGTTTGTCAATCAATCTGATGACGTGGTTGATTGATTTCAATGATAGTGAATACTATAGTTTAGTGATATAGGGGTTAATTGCTGTTGGACGATCTTGAATTTCCTTATTCGATATGAGCCGCCGAGACGTTATTTTGTATTCGCAGGGATGGTAACTCCAGTATTCTATCATCTGCGCGCCTTTCTCACATACGAAAAATGTCCAAGAATTTATAAATTTATTTATCTTATTTTGTATTTATTTATTTTGTTTGTTTTTCTTTTCGAATATATTTTTTGAAACAAAGCAATCGATGCAAGTAGGCGGTTTTTATGGAAGTTTCAAATGAGAATATAATGGCATGATCGATACCAAGTGATTTTCAGTCATTGGYAGTGTCGTTTTATCGTTCACAAATGTTTTGCTACGCAGCCATGGACACGGAGCCTGACCGGTGTTTACTCAGACTCAACAATAACTTACTCAAATAAGCTATTACCTAAGTATACCATAAGTTGAAACCATAAGCAAAGGCGTTAGACATGTCCACTTCAACTTCKCTCAACGAAATGCGTTCAACGAAATGCGTTGAAGTGTTTACCCCGCACTAAACCATGTAAAGATTCGTTTTTACGATAGCCTTTGACAATTTACATTGGAATCGTGAAAAACAAAAATGAAGGTGGCCTCAGTCAAAGATTGAATAGCAGCCCTTTTCGCAGTTGAAAAACAAGTTCAAGGAGCCTGTGGTTTTTCACCAAAGCGAGAAAGAATCGGGCAACAAGCCAAAAATACCATTTTTGAAAAGTTAGACGAAAATAATTTTTGTTTTGAAAAAAGTCATGGTTTTGTCATGACCTTGCACTCTTGTTCATTTGAGGGTTGCACCAAACATATATACACAAATATACACAAATAGGCTTTTATTTATTGCATATTTAATTTTTGTAAGTCATTTAATTTATTCTAAATATTACCATTCATTGTTATTAGAATTATTTAATTTTTAGTTCAGCTTATTTCTGTATTTGTAGTATTCTAGATAAGCCAATAAACTATTGATRATAAGAAATTCCACCWTTRCACTCATACACTCATTCCCGGTATGATAATTGGCAGAGACTATTACTGAGACTTTTGACATTAACAGTAATATAGCAAAAGAACATACATGTCAAAGGCATTTATACTGGATTATTTTCAAAAAATCCTCACCACAACCGCTTCACTACTATAGTAATAGCRATACTCAATGTTTATCAACAAACTCATTCTCATGTTAATGTACCAAACATGATTCATAAGTCGCTTTGTTTTTACAGCCAATCGTCTTCTGGTTGGCACATGAATATTAACAAAGGCTTGCGTCACATATAGTATCGGTATTAGAACAAAGATGGTGATTTGGTCATGTAACAAAAAACAGACAACACAAAAAAAACAAAGATGTATGTCTGTAAAACAATAGACATTGTTTCATATAATCCCTCTATTCTTTGTGTTTATTGTTCCCAAGCTTCGTTCGGGTCTCACTTTTCAAGATGGCGGACGCATTGTTCTCTGAAATTATTGATGCATGCGCATGCATATAAGCACGGTATGTAAATCGAGAACAAGCGGTTGAGTGGACTACAGGTTGAAAGTCCACGAGGGCGTACTCGGCAAATTGGACTGCATAGAGAATGTTACGTGATTACACTGGAGCGCGGAGATATAGAGGATATTACATAGGTGCGCGGAGATACGGATTTTATCTTCGAGTGTTTAAAAAATCTCGAAGCGACCATGTAATGAAAGCAAATCATGTTGTAAAATAACTTTTTCTTCCCAATATATTGAGAAACCTTCAAGTGTTATTTTCACTTTTCGAACGAGAGAAATATAGGTATTTTATAGATAATTATATGATAAAACGTCTGAATCTAACTAGGAGCCAAAAAAATCCCCGTCTATTTAGCAGACAAGCACTAAAAATATGATGCTACACTCGGTCTGATATTTTCTTGTACAATCCTTGCGCTCGGTTAATAACCTCTCAGGACCTCTCAGTATAAATGTCTCTCAGAGGATCCGGATTGACGAAAACAAGAAATATAGACAAAAATAAAACAAAAATAGTTTAGTTTCGTGAAGTCACACTTGAGTACAGCTCGTATCAACTGGAATCCATTCATAACTTATTTATACTTTATAATTTTCAGCGCCAAAATTAAAATTGACATGCAGCAAGGCGCTGTAAATTACGTGACGTCATCATACTTATTGTCGATTGCTTTGACAAAGACACATGATCTGTTGATGACTTCGYTTGTTAGCTTGTCTCAAAACAACGGTCTGTCTTGTCCAATGACTCCCTCTCTCTTGTGTTGTTGAATGAAATGCAGGTAGGCAAGTTGATTGTAATTTTAACGAATTACGCTCGAAATTTATTGAAATACAATGTATTTTCATGTCTAGTGGGACTGCGCAATTCATGCCTCGAATTCAATATGTTGGTTGCGTTTGTAAAATGCTGCTTTAGATAAATTGCTGCCGTATCTAGAGATTTACTTAATCTCGATGACAAAGTCATTTGATTTTTCATTGATTTGATAGCGAAACAGATCAGAGAGAGTCTCAGCACTTTAGCTGGCTGGACAAGCCTTTGCGTGCATATGGTTAGTTATTGATTGAACAGCGTTAAACCATCTGTTGTCTCTTTCGAGCTGATACACTCCATTCTTGCATGATTTTTCATATTGTTCGAATAGATTAAAATTTCTGCGTCAAATTGCTAGTAATTTTGGCAATTTTTAATATTTGCTTTATGAATTACTATCACTGCATTTCTTATTCAAAAATATTTCAGCGAACGAATAAACCGTGTCGTCTTTGTCTACTATAAACTCTGTCTTTGTGTTCTTAAAAATTAAAGCAATTTAAAGCTTTGGACTTAATGTGGCTTAGCCATCATGCTCTGTTGGACGCTGGACCTTTAAATCGCAACCTAAAATAAATCTACTCAGCATGTATTTCTCGCTTAATTTAAGGAGGCTTGAGGAGGCAGCATCGCCGAGTTGTCAGAGCGTTAGTATCGTGATCTGACGAGATCCCAGGTTCGATTCCCAGTCTGGCTACTAAATACTGAATGTGTTCCGTTTCGATAGTTCAAATTCAGTTTCTACTAGGCCATGTTTGCTGGATTCGCCTCCTCACCAGTTCTTATCTGCTTCATGTTGTTTATTAGTTGCGTTCTTGAGTTTATTTTGTTACAGGCACATTTGATCATATCAACATGCGAATTGGCGCATTATAAGTAATTAATTATTATCATTATTATTTATTTTCTTTTCGAATTATTAGCAGTTAAATTATTTGGGATTTTTTGGCATTGGAACTTGTTTATATTATGCTATACAGAAATTGTAGATCACATATTATTTAAGCTATAAGTTTTTCGCTCTCACCATATGATTTTGATCTTGGTGTCTTGAAATAGGACCCGTTACCTGTTCGTTCGCCCATAACCCCTCAAATAAACAACTTTCAAATTTTCGCAATATGTATATTTTAACATCACGGAGTTATGGCATAAGTGAAACCAAGAAATAATGTTTTTCGACCATACCTTTCATTTTCATTTCCCAGACATTTGCATGACTTCTTTGATTCATTTTATTCGTTATCTACAAACAGTTGCATGAAGTTTGAGCAAAAGTTGAGTACAAGTTGATTTGGAGTTAAAAAAGCATAGCGTGACGCTATGTGACTGTTTGASCGCCATGTTTAAAGGTCAATCTTGACATCATCTTTCATCCCCTCAGTTAAACCAACAATGAATAAATATCTTTAGATCGTGATAAAAAGTAAGAACTGAAAAAGATCTTTTAAATAATAAGAATAATAAACATTCGATGTAATATGACGATTTTTCCAAAAACATCTTATCGTTGCATACCAAAAACTAGACGCCCCTGGGGCGTGAAGTCGGACTAGCTATTTTTGAAAATTGATAGACACGAGTGAAAAGATTWTGATGTTATATTCTGTTTAATCATATGATTATATTATGAATGCAAATGAAACTTGAGAAAAACAGGAGGATATTACATAAAATATAAAAATTAGATTAAAATATATATTTCTTAATTTTTCTCCAAAGTAGCCGAACTCACGGCCTAATAAGAGCGTCTAGTTCAAAATATCCAAACTCTCTTGAGACTAAAATAAACTTGACCTAAAAGGTCATGTAATTAATGTAGCAATGAACGTTTTAAAAGAGTCCTTGATTTCACTGATAAAATCAAACGTGCTATGCGTGCTATGCTTAGACGTGATGCTAAGTGATAACGTTGACCTCTCAGGCCAAGAAAATACTTTACAAAGTAAATGATACTATAAAATCATTAAACTCGCCTTTTTTATTGATAAAAAAATGTTTCTTCTTGTTCTAATTTGAAATCTTTGCCCACACAACACTGCCTAACGATAAAAAAGGCCATTGATTTAGTTTCGAAAGCATACTACTCGAAGCACCAAGCGATCTGCACATGCGCGTACTTATGATAGCTAGACTGATGCATTCCGATGAGATCACAGATACCACATTTGTAAACGAATAGTTTTTTTGTCATATAAAATCCAAGTAGCATATAACATTTACTAACGATATTCGTACATCAATACGCTTGAGCTTCCGGTCATGTAATACCACAGTCAACCCAATAGTTAATTATTAAATTCTTAACTTGTCCAAACGCGACATAATACATAGATAGATAGATTGATAGATTGGCTAAAAGGTAAATTTAAAGTCGGACCGCCTTCGGCTAGTCCGACTAATGATTTTCTTTTAGAAGGTGCAATTTTAAAATACAAGTAATTAACATTGTTTTTTTAATCTAGGATGAATAAATCGCTGAAATACCTGCATCAATGGCGAGACACTGACAGAAAGTCGTACGTCTCACTCGCTAAAACGCACTTGGAATTCCTGAGTGAGGTCACTAAGTATCCATCGCTCGTGAACGGCTGTCATCTACGTAACGCGATACGACGTTATGAACTATTTTGGCTACCACTATGTAAGAGATATGGTACAATGTCGAGCGAGGACTGGGCTGCACCTCTGGATATTGCATGGGTGTGGTACTTACATATGGTTACTCCTGCAAGTTACATCGATGACTGTATCAATCTGATCGGCAACGCTCCAAGCCATGCGTTAAAGTCAGGAATATTGAGAGACAAAGCTTTGTTGCTTACTAAAGATCTTTGGGACAAAGCTTATGTCTCGACGAAAGAACCTTTTTCTGTTGATTTGAACGTACCATGTGTGTGTTCCTATGACAACCAAAAACTGCCTCATGACTTCAATCACTTATCACGCAAACAGCGTAACTTCTGTTATCAAGTATCGCTGCCGCATTATAGTGATGACACATTTCTCGATTCTGCTACCGAGCGTTACGTCACGCATTTAGATCTTCAGAGGAAAAACTCTTCGCTTTTTCTGTCAGTACCAGTCGATGTACAGCTGGTTATGCAGACACATCAGTTGAATCCTATCTTTTACCAGTATCAGATAGGTGTAATTCTAGGGAAGGTCGTGAATTATGAATACGATTTCCTATTGGACTGTAAATCAAACATCGATAAACGATATCAGGCTGAAACAATCACAAAACAACTGTGGGAGAAAGCCGGCCAGAATTATGCCAAACCTGGTACTATCCATCGTGGAGATATTCCAATTTTTGTTGAAAAGCTAAAGCTGAAGAATTACGTCGTTCCAGTTGACTACGAAGTATCTGTTACGAAGATCGAGCTTATACCGCTACAATACTACGATAACTACGCTTTAATGTTTAAGGTTACCGAAGGAAGCGAGATTTCGAAGACCAAAATCAAAATAGAGCAATGCTTTGCTTCCAAACAACGGCATCGACCCCAATTGAGAAACCATGAGAACGGAATTGAATACGTTCCGCTTGAAGATTTCTCTGGAGGTAAATCTAAAGGTTCTAATTCTCAGAAGTATTCTTTACKAGATGAGGAGTCGGATCAGGATCAATGTAGKGAGGATGTTCTTGTCATTGGTGATGGTACCCATGCTCTCATGAGATACAAAACGAACGCTGCACTGTCAACGAAAGTTGAGATATCTCTCCTTGAAGTCGATAAAAACAGATTAACGTCAGCAAAGTCTTGCATAGGACGGTGTGATTTAGATGTGTTTCACTTTGTGGAATCGGGTGACAAGTTTTACAACAAGGGAACAAAGCAAAGAGTTTGTTTACCTTTAGAATTGCCAAGCGATTGCCCTTCCGTCCGCTTGACCCTAGTGTTAGCGCCTATGAGGAGTGGTCATCATGTGTTCCAAATAAGCACAGAGGAGTATGGGCTTGCAAAGTTTGTGCATATTGGAAGTGCACTTTCATACCCTTCACTGATGTTGCCTTTGTGTAAGCTCACAGCAAGTGACGCAGCCGCTGAGGTAATGACCTACCCGATAAAGGATTGCAGGGGAAAAGAAACCTTCTCTTGCCGGGTAGTCCGGTCGACGTCGGACTTACTCTACGCCATAGAGATTATCGATAAAGAGGGAGCAACAATAGCGACGAGTCATCTCCTGTCAAACGACACTTTACCTCTTAAAAGCGAGCTGTTTTCCAGCCAGCATAAACCCGTCTTCGTTGACGACGAACTCCAGTATGCCATGATTATAAGAGGACAGGAAGACTGGGGCGTGTGCTACGGTCAAAAGTTTCAACTGTCTCAATCGGTGCCGTTTTTTGGCCTGAAGTTGTTTCTATTTCACGAGAATGCCAACGAGTTCTGCTATGTGCGCAAGTACAAAGGATCGCTTTACATGTTCACTCTTAGCGCTACAGAAAAGAGAGAAAACGATGCACACATCTACCTTCACTTAGCCGAGGGGAAAGTCGTCATTACCGGGAACCTTAAAGAAATCCCAGAAATCTTGGCATTTCTAATGTCTGCCCTTGTCTTGCGATATATTTTTTGCGAGAAGGAAGCAGACTCCTGGACTCTAATTGACACAAATGGTGTGGATTTATTAAGCATATTTCAAGGCGGAGATGATGTGGGACTTTTATGGGATGGTATTTATAAAGGTGATGAAGCGAGTATTGCAGCATATCGCGCGGTGGTTTCCAAAGTTGAGTGTTAAATTTTCAAAGTAATCAAGAAATAAAAAGCACAAGTTAGGTAACACCTAATAGTGTATCTAGAAAATCAACACTATTTCGAGGATAATCAGCTAAGGTTATGGTAATTCAGTAAGTTTTTGCAGTTCGTGATCAGTTGGATATTTTTGTTGATTCATTATAATTCATAATGATTCATCCGCGTTGCCACTATTCTTCGTTTTCAAGTTACGTCACAGCGGTTATTCTTAACTGATTAGCAAAAAAGCCATGGCTCCTTTCGGTCGTGCAATCTCCGTTTGAAATAGGTATCAATTTGAACACACTTTTAATAGCCAATTACAGCACGCGTCTTATTCATCGCGTCTTATAAATCGATTTGAATCGATATTCTTGTCAAAAGTTGAGCAGAATCGTGGCAACAAACGTTCGCATTTCAGCTTAATTTCATTGTAAATTGTAAGTATTTCTTAATTGTACGTTACGTTTTGTATTTCCATGGCGTAACTTTTACTGAACTTGAAAGTTTTGAATTGAGATCTTTTTACACATTTTACACGCCACTTTTTTTAAGTATAAAGTTGTGTGACACTGTAATACTGATTTCATTACTCAGTGGCGGCGCACAACGTAACAAAGTAGGATAGCTAACTCAATACATTGTCAATATTTAATGGATAGATTTAAGGCTGCGGAAAAATGAAATTTCTTTCAAATGAACACTACAATGACTCCCATTATTAAATTCACTTCGTGATATAATTAGTTTAATATTAAAATTTTTGTGATGAGCGTCGTGAGTGCGGACGTATGGTACTGATGAGTAAGCTTTGTTTTATCGAGTCTATTTTCTATTCACATAAGATTTCATTAGGAGTCACTATGTCTTGATTATTTTCTTACGTTCTGCTTCTTCTGTAGCCATATTTTTGTTTGTCAAACTGTAGGGAAAATGTAGAGAAGATCGTTAACTAATTGAGAATGGCAGCTGYTCATTTTTAACTCGGAGATTGCGTTAGCAATCGAAAAGTTGTTGTGGGGATCGATCTGTCACTCACTTTCCTGTAAACTGCGTTGTTGCCTTAGTAACTGCTATTTTTTATTTAACTCGAGGATTGCTTACTTATCATACTCTTTTGCATTTGAAATTGAGCATCACGCATCACAAGCGTTGACAAATATATAATCCTGTAAGCAGGGAACTAACAATTCACTACCTTGAATTTTTTTGTCTCACAAAATCCACAAGCACGTGGGCATCGTTTCTGCATAAACGAGCTCCAGTAGCGACAATAGCCATCAATAGAAGCAAACTTCTTACATGATGCGGGATAGATATCTCTACATTTACCTAAACAAATAATACAATGTCAGTTCTTGCCCGGAAGCTCCCTGCTTGAGAGGTAAATAMGAAAATTAACTACGCAAAGTTTGATGAATAAAGCGGAAAAGAGAATTGTTCTGAATCTGATAGAGCAAGAGGGACTTGGAGTGCGCATGCGTCAGTTGCACAACATTTTCGAGCTACTTTTGGTATTTCTTTTTAAATTTAGCAGTAAACAAATGGACTTTTTTTCTACAGAATGGTTTTCTTCGTCGCTTATTACTTCCTCTTGAGATTTCACGAGAAGATATGCTTGTCACTGGTCGCTTTACTAGCTCGGTATTTGTTCTGACAATGCCAATAAACAAAATGCACCAAAACAAGTCAAACTAATGTTTTCATCCGTCTGTGAAACAATTAGTACTACTAGTCAGTGTTTGATAGTAACTATTAGGGTGTAGTATAATTCCTATTTCACAGACGGATGAAATGACTCTATTACTGTCTACAAATCACTCTTTATTAGTCACTTTTTATTAGTCCATCGACTGACTAATTTCTGGTTTTCTTGTCACTTGTCACCTGCCCTGGAAAACAACTCCTGGACAAGAAAAGTCACTCCGCAATAGTAATTTTGACTCTTTTAAACACATGAACATTTTTTGGAGTTAAATTAACTCCTGAAAACAACACTTGATTATTGAGATGACATTACCTGAAACTTCTAGTTGGCTGAACTTCTGGTTTTTTAAMCCAGTGTTGCCTTCTCTGACAGTTTCTGTAGGAGCAACATTTCCTTGATTTTGTGTTTCCTTTGATGTCTTTAGTTGATATTTTGCTTTCTGTCTCTGCTCTTTTTCTATAGAATGCTTTTTTGGTCGAACTAGCAAATGCCTAGATTGTTTTTTAGTGGTAACGGGCTCCTCTTCTTTATTTACGAGTCGTTCAGTTTCTTTACGGATTGTTTTTGTCGTCAGCATGACAGGATTATCATCGTTTTCTTCATTTTCATGGAACGTTCTTAATGGCTGGGCTGGCAAAGGACCCTTATCGATGCTTTTGCACTTGTAGACCTTTAAAATCTGTTTTATGTCTAGTTTACTAAATCGTTTCATTTGTCCGAGCGGTCTATTAGCGTCACCGATGGCTTCAATGGTGTTTTGTCTATTTTTGCTGAAGGCTAGCTTCCCATAATGCATTAAGCTGTCGTAATCATATGGGATGTCCAGTGTGTCTAAATCATCGTGACTGTAGCTCTCGAAGTTCCTCAAAAAGTCTATTACAAAAGACTAAAGATTATTATGAGTTTATTTAGGATCGCATCGTTAGGGGTAAAATTGGAAAATCACAGTGAATAATCAGTCTCGTCTTCATTCTCATTGTCATGTCCATTGACACACATACCTGGTTCAATATTCCACCATAGAATTTTAACGTACTTGTCCCTATCATAACGCGAGTGTTCGTGGAAGAACCCAAGGGCGTGCATTAGCTCGTGCATAATTGTTCCCCTCTGCTCGCAACCGTCACCAACGGAGAGTATTTGTCGTCCTCCTTGTCGACCAATAGGAGAATAGCATCTAGAGTAATGCAAAATACAATWACGACATCTCGGAAACAAAAAGCTTGTTGCATGTCTGTTAAAAAATCGATTAGTTAGCATTGTATATATGAACGTATAACAGGGATACAGCGAACAGAGAAATCATTGAAGAAGTATCAATACGCTAACAATAACCACTTAGTATGGTTGACGTAAAACTGAGTTTTCCTTACCCGATGTTACGTTCGAATGCAATGTAATCACTTTCATCGGTACGTTGAACGAACTGTACACATGTATGGTAGTGAAACTGATTGATAGCGTGTTGTACTGCTCGGCGGCCAGACTTTCCTACAAAGTATCAACATGATGCCATTACATATCGGATCGCAACAAAAGACATTTTATGCGTAGAGTTTCATTCAGCTTTCGACAGGAGAATTCAGGGAAGAGTAGGAAGAGAAACACGAGGTGCATCTATTCTTACCAAGTGTTGAGTTAATCACAAATGGAACAATGTTATTCGTCCAACGTTGTACCATCTTTGAAGTAATTTCACGTTTTCTGCGGTGCTCGACTGACGTAAGCTCCCTTAGAGTTGCGCTCATTAGAATATCTCCTTCGATAATTTCTGAAAAATAATGTTGTTTTGAAGCTCGGGTAAGAGGTAAGAAGTACTTGTACTAAAAACGGGAAAATACTAGAGACAAAAAAACTGAACCGCGTTTGATGTTTTTGCTTTTTGTTTTTGCACAGTTGTTTGTTTGTTTTTGTTGTTTTTTGTTTTGCAAATATATAAAGAGGAGTTTGTGATATATAACAAAATAAACAATACTAGGTTCTTGGGAATGGCGGGCTAATTCTTGGCACTGGATTCAATTTTCACAACCATGAGAGACCACTGACTACTAAGCAATTGTGTTTTAAAAAGTGTTGAAAAATTTGAAAAGTTAAGCAATCAACGTACCTAATCCAGAAAATTCTAGCATTCACGAGAAACAAAATCCATAGATCAGTCACTCATAGTCTCTCAAAACGCATTATCTTGCAGTCAAGATGCAGACAATATTCAATCAATCAAAAAACGATGACATATTGTCATCTTTTACGTAAACACTATTGGTCTATGGTTTATGCCAAACATGGAGTCCTAGATAGATATAGGGTCTACATTCACGATTTTAGTATCTTCAATAAGATCACACCTCGATCCGGTGGTAATGCCGTGATTGTCTTTCCAATATATTGTCTTTGTATGAGTTTTATCAAATGTCATTATAATCTACGTGTCAGTGACATGATTAGCAATCACGTGACGTCACGAATTCTTAGGATTTCTATACAGACCTCAGGAAAATCAAAGTTGGGAAAATAGACTATCTTTGTAGTACCGATGGCGCAATGACAATGGAAAAGACTAAGCATTTCATCGCTACCTTGACTCTGAAAAGCAAGTTCGTGTAATTTGGTCCTGCTTGAGTTGAGAGAGTGGAGTTTCAAATCAAAACCCAATTATTCATTAACCGCTTCAAGTTCACTATCACATTTAAAACTGAGTATAAATTTCTTTATGTAACACTATTAACAAACTATTTTGAAACACTGGCTTACTTTGTTGATTTGAAGATAGTTTTATCACTGGTAGAGCGGTTAATCCAGACATCGTTCCACACAAGCATATCAAACCAAACAGCTTGGAATCCATTCCATGAAAAAGAGAGTACAAGCTCACAATGTTTTTATATAATGATTTCGTCAAGAAATAGCTCGATGATCAACTGAAGAAACTAGTGAGATGTGCTACAATAACTTGTACTGACGACCCAAAGGGTCAACGTGCGCGTCTCAATAGCTGATTGTGACGTCATAAGGATGTACTGTGACCATTTCCTGTGAACAAAACGGAAGGTGGGAAAGCACAAATGCACGATTACCTTTCAATGAATATTGTTATCGATTGAATCCGAATCAACAACTTACTCGACGACTGTCTGTGTGAGCAAAAGATCTGAAAGAAGAAGGGTAGGGAAAGGATGAAATTGAAAGTAGCACGTATATGGACCGGGATAAAGGAAAATGATAGTTTGTGAGTGGATGTTCTAAGTGTGTAGAGGTGATAGTAAAAAGTAGAATAAATGAGTAGGGAACAATAAGCATGTTAGGAGGGAAGGATAATTATAATGAACATGAAATTGAAAGTATGTATGGGAATGGCGGCCGGGAGAGGAATAAACAGATGAAAGGATGGAGAAAGGCGAGGAGATTTTTTTATTTTTCGTCACTGCGATACCTGGTCGTCATTAGTGTATTTTGCGCAGGTATCGCCTTTGCAATGTGGTTGCGCAAATCCTGCTTTGAAGCACTTCTCCTGGTTTTGTAACGCCCTGACTGACAAGATTGTGTATCTTGGCGATTACTCTACGGTCAACACTTTAATTGAATGAGCGCAGCTTCTCAAATGGGGTGTCCTTTGTGTCGAGTCGATAATGGTATCTTTGATAAAAACTTTGATACTCGGATACTCGGTGTACCAATTTGCCAGCTTCAAGGTCTGACTTTRATTTAAAGCACTAGCTTTTTTGCACTTTTCAAACTATTTGTTGTGGAGCCTGATCTCTTTACTTCATGATCTGAATAGTGACCGGACAGTCCAGCTTGTGGCTCCCTTCATATTTATTGTACGAATTTGACATATGCTTCGTTCCATAGTCGTGCTCTGGTACCGTTTGTTTTATCAAAGACGATTTTGTTCCAGGTCTTCCTGTGTATCATTTGTGAATCAATTGAGCTCGTTTTGAAATAGCCTGCGTAGCGGCTCTAGGGGCTAGCTCTAGGGGCTCCGTTTTTCCCCTTCCCCCMTCCCCTAGAGCCGCTGACGCAGGCTATTGAGACTGACACTCAGTGACACTCATAATTGTCCAGTTCGTGTGAGTCTGCCGACAACTTGACATTTTCTTCGACCACTTTAGTGCCGACACTTTTTTAAGTAAGTTGCTAGTTATTTGGCAACTTTGGCTAAGTCCCTAACCTAGTGATAAGTGTCATTGAAAATCTTTTAGAGTCTACTGGACTTTAATTCGTTTTCGGACTTAGTTAGGGCCTGTGCAATAATTATCAGGAAGGGGGTTGAGTATCCAGAGAGGGGAGAGGGGTACGGGCATAGTGTAAACTCATTCTATGTCCTAAGCAGTCTCTATCGTAGTCTTTTAACAAGGGGGGGCTAGCAAGTATGATTATATAGACAGTGATCTACAATTGAATTGTAGCTTTGAAGTGGCAACAAGAAAAAGGATAAAATATATTTAAAATTTCAAAATAAGTAGCTACTGACTAAAATTGTAAAATAGTGGCGATTTCTTGGCCGGCTTTGGCAAAACCGTCGCACGCATATGGCATACTAGAATGAACCATGCTCATATAATGGCGGAAACTAGCGGTAAACTAATGTGAGCTGCGTCGGTGTTCTGAAGAAACAGTTGTGTAAAAAGATAAATTTAACACCTTAAAAAAGTAGGTGAAATAACTTACTGACGTTTCGGACGTTAATCCTTCGTCGGAGTAAAGACAGTAAAGAGCCACCACATGACAACTTTTGGGTTACCTGTCGTTTTCAAAAGTCTAGGATATACTCAGATACAGAGAATGGACGGGTAAACCTCAACTTGGACGCCCTTATTAGTATATTGCACAAAATGCATACAATTTTTATTGTGTATCAATGTCGTSGTTTGATGCATTTAGCGAAATTTTAGCCCGTTTTCAGACTTCGATCTTTTGCCGCGTCTTTGCTTGCATGTAGTTCACGAGAAGTTTGCAGAATAAATCAATTGATATTTACGGATTATTATAAATTCGTCCAACTGAACAAAATCTGCCAATGTCAAAGAATTCAGAATACGAAGTGTTTCATAAACTCAACTCCAGCAACTAGATTACTGACGACGCGACAAAAGATCGACGTCTGAAACGGGCGTTAGTTTTTTTGTTTTTTTTTCATAGTTAGTAGTAGAGGGAGGTTGCAAATACCATGGTATAAACGGTGTTTTACGTATTTCCTTGTCTGGAATAAGTGACTAGCAATCCACACAGAATTAGGGGACCAAGATAACGGTTACATTGAGATCTTATCTAAACTGAAAAAATATATCGACCAACTGTTTACACGCGTATCTTCACGTGTCATTTTGGTAGCTTGTTGCGTAATATAATAATTTACGTATACAATACACGTGCAGCGTGGCCCATAACATGACTTACGTAAGGTCGCAACCGGAAGTTTACTGTACCATAGGACAGAATGAAATATAATTGTTCACGGTTAAAACTCGTGTTTTTACGGCTAAACTTTATGGAAAGAAATTCTAGATTTTCTTTTTTGTCGTTTTATTTACTATATTGAATATTATGTTCATTTACGCGATACTAAAATTTTGGATTTTAGCTGATTCATTTCCGGTACACGTGCTCTCTTAAAATTATTCGAGATGTCCGCGTGACTGAAAATGAGAAAATCGTTTCAGCCAATCATTGTAAGATTTGGTTACATAACGTAATCATTGCAATTTCACGTGGAATTACGCTATAAAGATATAAACATTGACTACTAGCTATGTATTCATTCTATCAATCGTACAGACTGCGCTGRATTTACGAGCTAAGTTACTAAGATGATAATGGAAGAATCGCTCTGGAATAATTTTGGTAAGTGTTTTTAAGATCTATGACTGCTAAGGGAGATTCCCTCCAAAATGGTAGATCGAATGAAAATCTTTGACATTTTTGTGCCCCAACGGTCATTATTTTCTAAAATTGCTCGTATCATTTCAAAATAAAGCAAAAATATTAACGTCTGTTGATTGATGTATGAAATTACGCCTAAGGCTTATTAAACTATTTTTTAGCTCTGAAATATGGTATGCAAACATTTCTTTCTTTTTTTAATAAAAAAGAAATGTCCAAGGTTAAGAGGCATTGCGAGCCATAGGTCATCTAATACCTAATATGTACTCACAATTCATAAGTTCGAGTGATTGTTTTGTRTCATGCACAGCTTGCATGTATAGGCATACTAAAGAGATATTTAATTGTATGAGGAAGTAGCTGATTTAAAGAGATATTTATATATATATGATTATGCTAAACGCGATATAAAAGTAATTACCCTCATTGTTTATCTTGAATAACAAAAAGATTGAAAATTCAAACAATTTYATCAGCTACAATGCCTTACAGTATATCTGTGATACAAAATGTTAATGCAGGTTATAACCTTTCTTACTCCTGGTTTTAACTATGCTTCTTTTTCAGTGAGATACTTTGTATAGTATGACTTATTTTCATGTTTTTCCTTTGTTTCAACTCGGTTATTTCTATCTTAAATTACAAAATGTCATGACCTTATGCTAGCAAAATAGTACTAAATTATGGTGATTCCCTTGTTTTCTGCTATTGAATTGTAATTCTCACAAACTAATTCAAAGAGTTGCCAACATTTTGATTACTGAAATTTTTCATGGTTTCTTTTTTCAATAATTTAAATTTATTGTGACAATACCTCCCCCATATTAAACAATGGCCAGCTATGTTAATATTCTGGCACTCTGACTGGCTACTGAACTATGGTACATTCATGCTATACCATGGTCGCATCAAATGGATCAAAAATAGGCGAGAAAGTGTTGATAAAAATTGTTCTTTAGAGTCCTTTTTTCACATTTTACCTTATGGCCTCAAGGACTAGCAACTCTTTGTCCACTCAATCTTATGATCTAATTGTTAAAAAGGGGCGGATCCAGGATTTTCCTCAGGGAGGGGTGCAGGGCTCTCAGGAGGGGGTGTACCCCTGATAAAAATCATTACCGTGAAGATACAAAATAAGGAAAGTATTTAAGGATACAGATATTAGGAGGGGGTGCGCACCCCCTGCACCCACCATCTGGGTCCGCGCCTGTTAAATGTTTTCTGGTAGAATTATAATCAGTGCAGCCCAGGATCTAAGCATCAGTTATTCTCAGTCAATGTTTAACAATGCACTTGCATTCAAAAGTATAATGTAAATGCATTAACAAAATCAATGATCATTATTTTGCAGACATTAAATGYTTCAACAAAGAACTTGAGGATTTTGATAGCGGTTGCTCCTCCATGCCATCTTCTCCAAGCAATTATAGTGATTTTTCTGGCTCCAGTAATGATGAWTGCAATGTTAATGATCTTCTGACCAAGAAAATTGACATCCTGGATATGGATTTGGACCAAATGACAGAAGAAGCAATTGTTAACCCGTTCATAAAAATCAGGACAGAAAATGATTTACAGGAGGATTTTTGCAAAAATGACGACTTGTTAACAGAAAGTGATGAGTTGCTTGGAATGTTAATGAATGGATATGAACTATTCAAAGAAGACAGCTCTACATTTGATAATGAAAAGGATGTTAGCTTGTATGATGACAAAGGTGTGGAGAAAACCATTCAAATCGGCGTGCAAGGGCAATCTACTTTGACACCAGCACAGCCAACTGTAGGGCCCCAGTGTAGAAAGAAAACACTCTCAAGTAGAAATGTTTCTGATCACACCTATGCCTGTGAAGAGGTATCAAATGATGATAATGAAAAATATCCAAAAGATGAAAGTTACTTAGAAAAACGAAGAAGAAACAATCTTGCTGCTAAAAAGTCAAGGCAATTGAAAAGATCTAAGGAAATAGAAAATTTGAAATATTTTGAAAAACTCTCCAAAGAAAATAAGAGTCTACTGAAAGAACTCAAAAAGCTGCAGTCTTTGGTTTCAAAACTTGAAGTCAAATTAAATTAGCATTCTTGAATGATGGCACTTCCTTTTGGCTTGTTAATTAAATTGTAAATATTTGAAATATATATAAGTCTATTATGAATATCAGTTGTCACTTCCCAACATTGAAAATTAGCCTGTGTACATCTGTTTCTCACCCCTCAAAAAATCGGGGAGAGAACGATTTTTTGAGGGGTGAGAAACGGATGTACACAGGCTACATTGAAAATAGACCAGAAGCATTATTGGCATTTCATAATTTATAAATTCCTAGTGAATTCTTCGCACCAGTAATATCGATGGTTTCGAATACAATTACACAAAATTTGTAATATGTTCTATATGATAGCGATCAGTGATGCTAGAAAGATCGTGATTCGGAGGAGAGGGATCTTTATCATGAAAACACTTAATGTTTATGGTCTTTTTTCTTGTCACTGACAAACCTGATTGAAAGATGTTTGTATATGTATATAACAAGATTGTGAATATTTATATTGTGCTGCAGTTGTGATAAGGAAAAATTGATTTTGATAATAAAAGCATTTCGTTCATTTGTAAATATAACTTACTAATTGAGTTTAGTCGTATTTAGTGCATCTGCCGTTTTGACGCTGAATTTTGGGAGTGATATCATCAGGCATTAGCCAGTCTTGAGTAGGGTATGACAAATCAAAATTTTAGGTCTGCGGTAGGGTCCTTCCCTTCCCCGCCCTTGGGTGCTAACTGATGCAAATCAAATTACTTTTGTTTAACTTATAAATATTTGTTCATTTATAATTCAAGTCCAACAGCGTTACACAAAAATTCAAAATCTTGAAGGCCAGAAATAGTTGTTGATGAAGCAATGAAGCTTGTTCATTCCCTATTAATTTTCAAGTAAATCGTCACAAAAATATAAAAAATCTCTTATATGCATGATATGGCGATATAAGATTGATATGTAACACCTTAGAGTGACGTTACGATTTAAGAACAAAAAATTATCAGCTTAACAGCGCAATACTAATTTGAAACTCAATACAGTTAACACTGTTGGAGAAATGGTCGTAAAAAATAAGCCTTTTGAGATAAATGCCGGACAAACTGATCATCTTGCCATCCTGAGAATTGTTGGTGGCTGTTTTACTGAAAGCGTTTAACATCCAGCATTGGTTAATAATAGGGAAAACTCGTTCGCGCGCTTTTTCGAAGTYTTCAACCGAAACCAGTTACGCTGCCAGGTTTATTTTCAGGAGCGATGCAAATGCAAAGTCTTTCAAGCGTTATCAAATTCCTACACTCCCCGTAGTAGTCGGGAGTACTTGAACTGATTCCATTGTAACTGTCGTCCAATCAGAGGGAACGGTGTCCATCAAGGTTGATGAATGCTTGAACGGATTCRAAAATTGAGTCAGAATATCGTACAAAAATGACAATTTGGCACGGTTGGATKTGAAGTCCGTTGAAATATTGCCCAATTCTGGATAGAAGGATCCTAGAGACATGMCGCTGAGGGGATTTTGGAGGCAAAAGATGGATTTAAGATATTTTTTTCGGCCTTCAAAGACGATTGGTGTGGAAGTTCTGTAACCAGCCTTGTAGTCTTTTATGACTGATGGCGATATTTTTTTTAAAATAGCTCTAAATCCCTTCAAAATCATACACAACAATGTTAAATAACATAAGCAACACATGAGATTAAGGTAAAATGTATTTTATTAAAAAAAACAATTTTGAATCAAATGGTTTGCTTGGGTTGCCTGTGTGTGACTGTGAGAARACAAAAAGCGGAGCAGGGGACTGTGGAAGAGCCTAAAACGGAAAATCGAATGGTTGGATGACGGAAGAACTGAACTGAACAGCGCGTTTTACTTGTTACTTTGCCTGTTGCTATGACACTATAAGTACTTTTATCCTTTTGAATCCTATGAAAAATCCCGCACTTGAGAAAATCAGTAGTGATGTAAGAGGTATTAAATGTACTTAGTCCACATACTCTCAACCATGATAGAATGATATCCTTGACCAGTTGGCAAGTCTTGCATGACCTCTCCATTTTAATGAAATTTGACATACAGATTCGTTTTTTGCTCTAGATATTAATGTCAAGAGCACTAAGAGCTGAAAGTAGAAGTTCCTTGGTGGATATTAGACGTATTTGCCATAGTATGAGTTCGAAGCAATTGTAAGTGCTCGTATGCTTTTGTGACTATAAAATTAAAGTTTTTACAGGCATTTCAACGATTTGTTCAAATGCAGGGGTTATACGTGATTAGGAGTAACATAAAGAAATGGCTGGATTATTTGAGGTTTCATTAAACTATTTCTTTACATAATCAAGTGAGTATTTTAACGTGTTTATTGTTTATTCCAATATAATTAACTAACGCCAAGATATAGAGTTTCGCTAACATTTTTATCAAGCTTGTTTTTTTTCTGCAGCACCAGTCTTCCTACACATGCAAGCAGTCCCTTGGGCTTTAAGTCACAATGCAAAATGAATATAAATTAAAGACCATCCGAACGGAACGACGTGGGCGGCAGTGACTGGAAAAGTTCGTAATACTCTATTCTTTTAATTAAGCACATCGGCCATTCCATTTTAAGCCGTGAAACACCAGCTGGAAACAAATCTCAGCTCTCAAGTCTCCTGATGGCTTCGGAAGACGTATTTCATTGTGGAGCAAATTTAGAATTTTTACCAGGTTAGTTTTTGTTGTTTTACGGGCAAAAGAATTTTAAAATTATGCTAAAAAGACTGAAAGCTGGCGATTTGGCAAACCGTTTTGAATAATGTATTTTCATGAAAAGGTCTGATATAACTAAAACTTTTTAGAGAAAGCGGAAATCTCAGCTGTCTGATTGCCAGATGAAACTTCGAAAATAATACGATTTTTTGTCTTCAGTGAGTAAAGTATTTCATTCATAAGCTAAGCCCCGAAGACAATTGTTTAAAAAATCATGGAATGTATGTATGAATATCAAAGGTCCTGATTTTTCCTTCGCAACTCTCGSTACGAATCATTTCTGAAGAATTCTAAGGTGGGCAGCGCGCATTCACAGTTCGTCAATAGAGGGTGCAGTTTTATGTTTGGTTACTGGGTCTATTTAGCATGTACTGGTGCGAAGGTTTCTATTGTTTCTAATTTTTAAGTGGGTTTAAAAAAAAATTATTCATGCCATTAACATATCAATTCTGCTTTTAACATTTAGACTTTCAGCAGCTAACTAAACCAAAATAGACTGAAAAAAGCTCCATTTCGACATTAAAATAAGCTTATCGGACTTTTAAAAAGACTGAATATTCATATGTCTTAATGAATTATGGGTTCATTGAATCGTATCCGCCATTGGTATGACCTCATCTCAGTGCTTTCATTTATTACTATGGCGACCTCTAAATCAAACAACAAAACTGATTACTACGTGCCTAAAAACCCGAAAACAACTTGTTAGATGAGTAAAACTTCTTAGCAACTTTTCTTTCAACGCCGGCCGTTGCGGACGAAAAATTGCTAGCGTACACGTGACTCGAAATCTTCGGGAGAAGTTGCTGACACGTTGCAATTTGCTGCAATGCGTTGCAAAAAGTAGATCTGAGCTCTACTTCATGCTCTGTTACACTGTACAATTCTCATCGTAACTTGGTTCCCAACACGTCCACACAACGCTCTTGAACAAAAAGTTACGTTGCGGAAAAAATTGCAAAGTGTGCAGTATTACCAGATTTTTATTATTAGCTTGAAACATGCGAAATTTCTATATTACTTGTGGCTTTTACGGTGAAGAAAATTCCAAACGYATTATCATTACACCGTCATCATATTGGTGATAGCTGGAAWAAATCGCGCTTGTMAGGTTGTAAATTTACATCAAGTCGATGCTCTCATAATATTTACATCTTTACTACCATTTTTCCATTGATGGGCGTGCTGAGTACTCGTCGATTGATTGTACTCATTTTTTTGCGAATACTAGTTAGACTTATGATTTTCAGGACTTGCCTAAATGAAGCAGAGATTTTTATTCTKTTTTACGGGAATAAATATTGCGCAGTCCCTTATCAAATTCACTCACCATCGCGGTCACGAAGTGCATGCAATGATTTCTGGACCAGCAAACTTTTTAGTGCTTTTTTGAGTGACGGGGTATGTTCGCTATGTTTGCCGGGGAAGAAGTACACTTCATGATATCGTGTGAGAGTACGAAATGTCTCGCGCTCGCACTCAGGTGAAAGAACAGAATAATTTTCGCTAATTTTGAAACATAAAATGTGGTAAAAAATGAATTGGACACGGGTTTTTATTGTATGTCCTCTTAACATTTTATGACGTCAAGAGTGTCAATATGCCGGAATATCGTGCGCAATCGCGCAATTTGTTAAAATTGTTTTGCTCCTCTTGTCGCTTGATATGATTTATAATTTAATATGATGCCCTTTAACTTGGGAAAATAGTAACTCAGGAATAMGTTTTGTGACCGTTTTTATTTCTTATAAATAAAATGCTTGTAACACGATTTGTAATCCCTTTCAGATATCGATATTTTCCGAAACGGTTCATTAAGTGATGATGAAACCGATTTGAGTTCTCCGTCCTCGTGTGGCACTCCTACAGATGGCTTGGACTCCTTTATATTTGATATCCCAGAATTGATCTTACCTTCGTCCACATCATCACTGAATTCCCAGTGCAGTACGTTCAACGCTAAACATTACATCCCAACAGAAAGTGAAGCAATCAACTACATTGAAGAAAAAAGTTTTCATCAAACACTGCGAAAGCATAGTATTCCTGATCAAATGAAGGACGAAAAGTACTGGAAACGAAGGCTCAGGAATAACAGATCTGCGAAAAAATCCCGTGAGGCAAAGCGCGTCAAGGATGATTTTCTTAAAAGTCGGATGGCGTTTCTAGAAATGGAAAACAAGCGATTGAAGATGTTAGTTGGTACATTGTTGGCAGAGAAGCAAAATCAGGGTCAAAATGCAATCCCTTGGCCTTGCTGGCACTCAAATATGGCTCTATAGTTTAAGAAAAGATCTAGTTTTATTATTAACTTGGAAAAAATCGCGCGCTTTAAAGGTTGTAAATTTGATGTAAATGATTTCCATTACATTTACAGAAGTTTGGACACTTACATCATATTTACATCAAATTTACAACCTAAAAAAGTCTGATATATAAAATCTAAGTCTCTTTGTGTGTTTGCTGGTGTGACAGATATGCACTCCCTCGTTACAGTATCCAAATAATAGGACAGCGAGCAGCAACGGAGAGCGTTTGGGATATCTGTGATCATGGGCAATTCCAAAGAACTTCCTTGGCTGGATAGTGATGAATAAAATCTTTGTTTAGTGAAATGTCCGTGAGATGAGGCACCTTATACCTGATACCTGGTACCTTTCAGGGTGAATCTTACTAATTTCCATAAACGAATAAAAACGACATCAATTCGTAATAATTGATTGTTTGATTAATTATTTAGGAGTTGGTACGTTTTAGGAGTAAGAATTTTATATATTGCCAATTTAATTCATAGTTCCAACAAATCAAACGCGTCATTCGCGCGCGCGGGATTGGCCAATCAGAATAGAGGACACGTTATGGCAGCCGGGAATTTTACAATCTCGTTCCAGAGCCCGCGTTCCTCTTGGCCTGAGGGCGCGAGCAACCACGAACTCTGGCCTAATCCATATTTTGCGCGCTTTTCGTTGGTCGATAGAATTCCTCATTACGAATGCGGACGTCTCCGGAAGTAAAATTTGACCAATCATAGTTGCAAAAAACAGCGCCAAAATTCGGGCGCGAGCGCGACGAGGAGTCCTAGCCCCAMTSAAGATGTTDCAAAATTGTAAACAAAAATTAATTGTAAAGTGTAGCAACAGAGTGTAGCAATGTCTTCTCCGAACAAAGCGGCGACGCAGCAAGTTTATAATAATTGTAGACTTTGCAATAAACTTTTAGATCGATACAAAGTAGATTTGTTTGGAAACAAGTCGAAGAGAGAGGGCGTTTTAACGTCTTTGCAAGATATATGCTCAGTAGATAACATACATGAAGACGACGGTTTCTCTGGATATTTATGTAGACTATGCGCCACAAATCTCGTTAGTATTAGCGAAAAAATTCAAAATTTCAAATGTCTTTACCGGCAAACACAACAACACATTCTAAAATTTCAAATTGTTTGGTTTTCAAAGGTAAATTTGGCATTCCTATAGCCGCTAGACCGTGGTCTAGCGAACTATAAAACAAATTTTCCGCCATTTTTCTTTTTGACACAATTGCGCAATGCGCAATTTAACCGGAACACCAGAAAATCTGATGAAAAATATGGATTAGGCCAGAGTTCGTGGTTGCTCGCGCCCTCAGGACAAGAGGAACGCGGGCTCTGGAACGAGATTGGGAATTTTATCGMAAAATCGTCGGAAGACTGTGTCATTTACGAAAACTCGAAAGCATTTGGGTGACAAGCCGGACAAACCGCGAGCGTTCGATTCCCGCGCTTTCTTCTGATTGGCTTACCGCACGCTCGCGCTTGATTTGTCGGTTCATTAGTATCTTCCTCCATATACATACTCTAATTCTTCTGGTATAAAGCGTTGAAATATATTTTCTATTTCATGACATTGCCTATTTATAAAAAGGAAGACAATTCCACTATACAGCAGACTACTTGCATCGCCTGCTTTTTGAATTAAAATTTTTCAAATTCTTTATTAGAGTTGTACAAAATCTAAGTAGTATTAATTTGTACTAAAAGTGGACCTAAAGAATTTAATTTGCGTGCCGCATGCACGATTAGACTTACTAAATACAATCAAATAGAACTATTTAGGGCCTATTTAGTTTGTACAGTTGCATGGATTACGTGCGATCACTCTACGTTGAATTACCCTTTTTTGCAGTTTATTTCTTTGGGAACCGGTCATTCTTTATCGACAGTCGGGTGGAGCAGAATGCAAAATGACACGAAAATTATCCCATTTCCCACAACCTCGCTCCCAGGCCCATTTCCCAACTCAATATTTTCGACATCCCATTTCTAGTAACTTATTTTTGAAAAATCCCACACTAATTCAAATATTTTAAAATTTCTAAATAAACAAATAAATTAACGTTTCTGAAATGCTAATTTTGAGTACGTTGCTACGCCAATATTTTCAAATATTGTTCTAGATTTTTTTATGTCCTTTGAGATAGATTAAAGACAAATCCCACTCCCATTCAATGTTCTGGTTCCCATTTAGGCAAAAGTCCCAGTCCCAGTGCATCTATTCCACTTTTCCCAGCCTAAGAAATCAGGCAAATCCCAGTCTCATTTTACCCCTTCAGTACCCTTTTAAAAGGTTCCAAATCGTGTTTCTTTAAACAATCAACTTAAAACCAAAGGAAATTCGAAAAACTATAAATAATCTTATTGAAGTTCTAAAGTTTTATTAGAAAATAGGTTTTCTTTGCACATTTTACGGCCTTGTCAAGCCTGTATCAACTACGTTTTTGAAAATGTTTGAGAATACCTGTTTTATAATCAGGTTATGTACAATACCACTAGAATACCGAATTTCTGATATATCCAGGATACGAAAATCGTCTATATTTTTWGGAAAATGATATTTATGTACACATTTACCTTCTTTTAGATTGATCATTCAAACTTTTCTCGAAAATTTGAAGCGAATTCTCTTCCAACAAAGAAACACAACTTTCATAATTCTCATGAATAAAATTTTACTAGCGACGTGAGCTTTTTCAGTAAAACTACTTGCACGTTTCTTTGTCAAATTCTCGCTTTATGATTGGATAGTTAACATGACTATTACGTTGACCGCCAAAAGCGGAAGGTTAAAACCAGTTTCCTGATGGGGAGCAACGTAAGTTAGTTTTATAATTAGAGCATTTTTTGTTAAAAGATGTCTGCATTGAAGTTAATTTKGTATTCAATGCTTTAGAATAGTATTCTTTGTCAGACCATTTACGATAAATACATTTTGTCCACTTATTAGTTCAAAATTGACWTCAGAAATTTTGAATGAAGAGCCCTCCCCCGGTAGATATTGATTTGACATCTTGTCAGACCGGATATACTACRATGTCGAGAACCGGCTAAAGTGTTTTATAGCGTGGCTGGCAATCTTGTTCATGACTGAACTCGCTTTTCTGGTGAAGCAAGATGTAAGAAACACTATTTAATCCCAGCYGAAGACTCTTACTCCATAAAAAAGCATGTATTAGCTGTACAGAATAGTAATTTCTGTTTATAGCAGTAGCAATTGCAAATTTTTGTTCCTCCAAGATATTTCCTTGAAGCGAAAGTTTTACGTCTGTGGCACTCCCTGCGACGCTGTCGTACAGGAGTTGAATATGGTCATTTGGAGTATGAAAAATGAATGTATAGCATTTGGAAACGATAAACACTGTACTCCTTTGCTCAAACAACTACGAGATAAAAGCAGAAAGCGCTCTGTTCTTGACGCTTTCGGGGAGACGACCGATGCACTAGATCACCTGGAACTATCTCCTCGAGTGAAGAGAGTTGTTAGGCGACCGCCGCCAGTTTTAACTGTATACGTACGGAAAGAAAATGAGAAAGCATACAATGCTATATTTATGGAAACTATGACTGTGGATAATTTCAAAGAGGCAGTTTCTCTATGTTACGGTCTTAAAGGAACTTCGATAAAGCGAGTTTCAYTACAAGGCAAATCTGGGTAAGTTTGTTTATTATGATAAGTAAAGTTCTGAATTATTTCAACCGAAACGACAATTTCCTTCGTCCGATGCTATAGTAGTGGCAATATGTTGTCAATTTAATCTAACCAACGTGTATTCTTTATATAAGCTAACTTAATAGAATCGATGCAATAGTAAGTTCAAGACTCTGACAAATTTGTTACGATATTCGAAGCTTGTGATCTTTCAGATCCTTCTGCTTATCAATATTTTGAGATGTAGAAACTTTTCTCTGTCCTAGTAAATTAGTTTTAGATCGTATTAGCAATTAGAAATGATCTCTCAGCGTGTTTGCATTTTTAATATTTAAAAATATTATATTAGATCTCAAACTAAGTTAAATTTCCACGTTATGCTACTTTACTTCGTCAAATTTTTGCCAAGAAAGCGAAACGTGTAGATATTTGTCACAAAATAAACACCGAACTTCACCATTTCCCAATCGTGATAAAAATCACGAAATCTGCCAGTCACGAAAAGGTTGCAAAACTATCAGAACCGGTTTGACTGGAATTACAGACTTTCCCTTGCACAACAATTGTTGCAAAATGGTGAAATTTCGGCTTGAAATCCGTTCAGTTTGCGTTCAGTTTCCACAATACCGTTGCAAAAAAACTTTGTACTTGTAGCAGTCGTTGAATTTTATGTTTTTCATGTAGTAACTCGGAGTCGTTAAAGTTATGTCTAGTCACGCAATAAGTTAGATGTGATTCTATCACTAGTCACGTTTTTTTGGTCAATAGCACGTGACAAGCTGTGAAACAAAGTGTTTGTTGAGTCATATCAGGTTTCTGTCTTATATATTATATACAAGACAAAGTCATTTTTTCCTAAATGTGGTCAGCAATGTATTATTTGATGTTTATATTTTACATTGTTTACATTTRACCTTTATTGGTTGTCTTGCATTTTTCTGGTTTCCACACATTTTTGAAGGAAAAATATTCTCTGTTATAAAAATAAAAATAAATACTGTAATAATATCAAATTTCTCGGATCTATTAACAAAGAAAAGCAGAAAACTAGTCTAAATGAAGGAGCCTGATGCGAAAACAGAGTACTAGTATGTAAATGACTTTTTAGGGTATTTTGAAACTTTCCCTAAATTKAAGAAAATCGTCTTCAATCACTTATCTTCAGTATGCTTTGAAAGATTTTTTTATAAAAGCAATAGAAAACAATAAAAATAGGCAATTGAGTACTGCATGTGAYTCAGGTCACTATTTAGAGCTTTAGGGTGCTTTCCATTTAGGCAGAACTGGCTGGCCAGTCCACTCTATTTAGAGGTATATAATGCTTTTTGTCAACATTTTTCAGTCATTTCAAGGTTTTCTGTAGAATAATGGATAGGATTTGAACATTTGAATTTYATAACTAAATGGGAATGATATATAATGACATTTTCTCTGGGTCTGGCCAGCCAGTTCTGACAAATGGAAATTTCAACTACTCCCGCCTTTTTGTCYGCGCTCGYGTCTTAGCACTTGACTTTCCCGCTCTTTTCCGAGTTRACCVKACARTTGTTTTCAAWGCMMACKGCATCAATCCAGCTTAGAAATGCTCGATAAGTATTCACCACAATTTAAAGATAGCTCAAAAAGGATCGCATTGGAAGAAAAACTCAATGAAGTTAAAGCTCAAAAGAAGCCAGAACATAAGCTTAAGTCCAAAAACTACTCAAAACAAAAGTGAAAAGCCGAAGAGATTCAAACCGGTGCATCTTGGCAAAAATGAAATCCTCCTCTTATAAAGACAACTTTCCTCGATTCAATGACTTATAAAGACAACTTTCCTCGATTCAATGACTTATAAAGACAACTTTCCTCGATTCAATGACTTCTCGGTTGCTGGAAAACAAAGAAAATTGTAATTCTATATTGAGAGACATCCACTTCGAAAAGTAAACAAATCTATAAAATAATGCATTTGTATATGAAAATAAACTGAATCTATGAAACAAGGAGCCAAAATCCCCGTCTTAATTTTAGCCGACAATTACTGAAAATATGATTTCTCTGTCATTTTACTCATATCGTGAGTTATTTGAGAAAAGCGTTGCCATCAGACAGAGGGAGGCAACGGGTTGCAAGTTGACCAGTGAGACTTTTCCTATATACTTTGAGTAATTCTTCTACATAATCTACGATGTAAAAGTCATATAATAAACGAGTTATCAGACCTTGGTCTTTTATTTACCGTACTGTCAAGACCTCGGTCTGATATTTTCCCGTACAGACCTCGCGCTCGGTTAATAACCTCTTATTATTTAAAAAAAAATGCTTTCAGGTGATATGATGAAGAATGACAATTGTTGTTTAAATAGTCAGTAAATAGATACACAAACTTTAATAAAAACACCTCATTTATTTACTTTTTTTGCTCTCTTTGACACTTGATATGATAATAAAGTACTTATTTACTGGAAACCTGGGAAACAGTATGTTTTGCGGTCCCTCGACTGCTGATGTTTCCCTCAGCTTTGCTTTGATTTTGTTAGATATGGAGAATTTTGTGCCATTTCATGCCATTTCTGAATTTGTGTCTTTTGAATTTTTTTCAGTGATTACAAGGAGTTAGATGAACAATGTCTTAAAACATTTGTTGATGAAGATGATTTTATTATTTCGTTGGACTATGACAGTAGTGAAGGCTTCTGCGATGTAATTCTGGTCAGTGGCAGCTGACAGTAGCTGCCTTCTATGGAGAAGTAATTCTTCTTTATTTTACAATATGTCCTTATAAGATCCAGTGATCATTAATTCATTACCATGTCAATTTGATTCTCTATTTACTCCCAAAAAGGGAAATGTATTGTGGGATGATTGGTGTGGCAGTGATGACATTTAAAATKGACCAATCAATAACCTGTCATTTTGGTTTTGGTTTYTCAATTTTATTTGTACTTTGACAGCAAGCAGGCAATCTTCAAGTTACACACCAACCATGCCAACAATACTTCTTGTGCACATGCATCCAAAAACATTTACAARTGATTCGTTATTGAAAAATGCTTTCAGATTGGTTCTTAATCAAAGTTGTGYGTGAGAAAATCCTTCAAAGGTTCTTGAATGCATGTGGGCCTTGATAGTTCTTTTTTTATATTTTTTCTCTGAAAGTACCATTATGACAAGTATTTTGCYTTCCTGCAAAAGCTTGATTGTACAAAGAAATTGTGGCCCTGGACTAGAGGCTCACATGGTGAATTGTTTTTTTTTTTTTTCATGAAACTTATTGAAATATTGTAGCTTTATTTTTAGTCTTTTATGATTCTAATCATGTTTTCAATATCAGAGTGAAGTCAGAAAATCAGTGAAATAGATATCACCCTTATTTCACCATTGTTTTCTTCACACTCCAATAGTCAGATTTTGTGTCATGGTTTTAATGACATCGTTCTAGCTTCTCAATTTTTCTTTAGGAAGGCATAATATTCATTCCAAATTTTAGCACAGTTTGTCCAACTAGTGAATGCATCAGTTGTACTATAACCTTTTTTTCAACAATGGTGATTTAAAGGAAGTTTCTCTGCAATGATGTCCAAAGTATGCTATTTTTATATTGTAGAGCTGACATACTTAAATACTACTAAATTATGCTAGGTCCTTTGCTTCCTATTGTCTAATTATCACACTATTTAGTAGTGATTAGTACTATTTGCTTTATGTATTAAGTGTGTTCATTGTACAATTTCAGGGATTAAAATGATGCATTCACTTTATATTATGATTTTATCTACAGATCTTCCCAGTTAAAAAATCTTGAATTATTTATGTAGTATTAGCTTGGCTCTAACTACACTAGAGTGAGTGCATTTAATCCATAAAAATTGTACAAGATCAAAATGGCATAAATTAGACTATATTTGCAACTTGAAGCAGAACATCTCTTGAATCACCAATGTGCATACTTACACTGTTAGAAGAATTTTGCTTCATACAGCTCAGCCTATTATTGTCTATGTTTAGCACTATTTTGCTACATCATGAATCTCACATAAATAGTCAAATTTTGCTTTGTGGGTTTTAATGACTTCACTCAGTTACAATCTCTTGTATTACAAGGTGATATAGTCATAACAGCCAGTGCTCATCCTAGGACCGCATAGGAATTATTTGAATCTGTCAGTTTTTATTTTGACTAGCCTCAATGTCAGGCTCTCTCAACCTCTGATACTCAGGATATATTTTGACATGAACATATGACTGACAATAAGCGTCAACCACCCCTGGATGAAAGAGAGCTAACGCATTTATAGAACAAACGCAGAAATACCATGAAATAATACCAAACTAAATGGTAACAAACAGCGGCTATTTAGAGACAATTTATCAGTAGAGCACAAACACTAAAACTGCAACAAATACCACTAAATACTGCTAAATTATGCTAATTCTATTGTTTCCTATTGTTTAATTAACGCTATCTTGTAGTAAATAGTGGTAAATGTTGCACACCATTTAATGTTTGTACTCTATCRATGAAACAAATGTTCTGATGTGGATTCATCTTGACTGCGTTCTGGCTCATTGATACTGACAAATTGTCTCTAAATAGCTGGTATTTGTTAGTAGTTACTTATTTTTATTTCATGGTTTTCCTGCGTTTGCTCTGTGCACTTTATGTAAATAGCGAAATAATAATGCCAATAAAAGAAGTTGAAAAACAATTCTAGAACTTTCTGTTAAAGTGCTTCTTGTTGTTAGGACTGTTAGCAATAAGGTATGTCGGACGTCACTGCATTTTAAGACCGTGCCGCAAGGCATTAATTCGACCTGGACACGGTAATTAAAGCAGTATCATTTGAAAGGAATTTCACTTTCCGAAAGCTGTATCYATCAATTCAATATTTCGTATTGAGCTTGGATCCTAAACTTTTCCTAAAGATSATCGCTAGACTGGCCATATCATTGTCATGATAAAGTTAATGGTTTTTCCCAGCTACAATCATGGACAAAATTCATTGGACAAAGTGTATGTCTACTAAAACTTACTGACAATTACCCCCCGTGCCCTCCCATTTCCAATGTTGGGCTCGAAACAAACCCTCCTTCCATACCGAAACATTTCCGCCAACAACATTGTTAACCGACATTGACTGTGGGAGGAGGGGGAGGCTTTGGGTAAGCATTAAAACAGCCCATAAGAGAGCGCATCTGCTAGAGCGCAGTAATAGCGTTCTGTCCAATTCAGTTTTGTCTAGGATTGTAGGAAGATTGCCTTCTCTAATCCCATTCCTTAAGGTGGGGTTGTTTTGGACTATCACGTGTCTAAAGGTCCCTTTTGAGTGTTCTCCGGCATGCAGGAAAGGCGGAAACAAAATGTCTTACTTGGTTGATGTCTTGCCAGGAATTGGTAAGGGCTGCCACTTCTTTGGATGCTAGACGTGCCGAAGCACCAGTTGGGCTTAAAACCTTTTGCTAAGTAATTGCATGTTATAAAGCGCGGTATGGCGACTGGTCGACGGTTAGCGCTAGTATGATAGCACAGCCTGATAGAAAGCTTCGTCCGCGTTCATTTCACCAAGACAGGCTTTAGTAATCTGCTCTCCGCCGCTGAGGAAGGGAAGGGTGCATCCTTTGTCCCCTTGGGTGTGGGGAAACTTCAAAATACCACTCGATGTCTGGAATTGGGCACATTTAATTTTTTTCATACCGGTGGTTTCACCTATTTTTTACGGTGTCAACTTTATCTTTTTCTACAACTTTTCTACAACTCAAACAATTGCATAACTATCCCTTAATGATTCCCCCAAATTTGGTTRAAAAGGACACCATCGCCATTGGGGAAATGAAGAATCTCAGGCACCTTGGCCCTGCCTAGGTCCCCAGGTCTATCTCCAACTAAAAATGACAGTAGGCTTGACTGGCTATCATAACAAACATATCTATTGCACTTTCTGCAGCTTTCTGTCTCCGTCAGATTTTTGKTTTTTTTGGGCTATCAATAAAACAAAAGAATATATTACACAGTATATGTACTTCTGACAGCAAACCAGAACTCGAAATTGGAGTATTAGAATAATGCACTCGTCAATTGAAACCCTCGCCTCCCGGGGCTAGCGGGGCACTGAAAGGGGACGTGACGCGTTTTTAACGTGCTTGGGGGCGGATTTCAAAGTGAGAAAAAAAAGTGGGGCAAAGAGCGGGGATTTTAACGCGCGTTTGAACATGTTCTAGGCTGGGAACTAGAGGTCGGGCCATCTTGAGAAATACCCTTAAGACATTGGTATTCAACCCCGCTTTTATATTTGTTTGTTTTTCCCACGGGTAGCCCAAGCTCTTTACTTGATATAAGACAATGTATGGGAATCTATGTAAAGTTGATTTATGGCATAAATATACAACAAATTTCGMTATAACTTATTGTGTGCATTATTATAGCTACTGGTAATCTCTGGAGCGACTTTCAGAACTTTTATGWATTGTTTCCACTCTTACTATAATCTGTGACAGTCACTTGCATTTTTTAAAAGAAACTTATTACACGTTTTTCTCCGTAATATATGTGATTTCAAATCACTTCGTGATTTATCAGTTTCTATATATGAACTKCATGCCCGGGACTGCATGCTTTTTGGTAGATTCCATCTTCACATTTAAACTAGAACATCTTCGAGCGTCAACTGACACGGGCGWACTATTTTGGAAAATTGAGAAAGACAGTGTATTACATGATTGGGCGTATAGGCGAACAAGTGAAAAGTTTTAAATCAGCTCAATATGAAAAACTATTGAATAAGCCAGAACTTTTCAACACCTTTATGCACCTATTAATGTTAAGCCCCCAGGGGGGGAGGCCGGGCTAGGGGTGGGGATTMGACATTTTTTCATATTTTTCTGTCAAATGCCCCACCCTCGGGCTGCTGAATGTGGTCAAATGCAGCTAAAAATCCCCACCCTGGGGACCAATTTATTGGTTAAATTCTATTTGAAAATCTGAGGTTTTCATTGATCAGTCTCTTTCTCGGAGCCTTTTTATTCAGTATTTGATCAATACAAATGTTATAATAAAACCCTTTTGTTGTTTTAGACAAAAGATAATCTTTGAAAAACAAACTAATACCRTTACCTCCTTGACATCCGACATCTTGCCATGTGCTATGAGATATCTGCGGGGGCTTTTATAGGGGCACTAGTCTTCAGTTCTCCTCAGCTCTCTATTTTCAGGTAACTCAACGATGGTTGGCAAGTATCCCCACCCTGGGGCACTGAATTATTGGCAAATGCCCGACCCTGGGGCAGTAATAGCTAGTCTAATCCCCACCCCTAGCCCGGCCTCCCCCCTTGATAGGTGCATTAGGGCACGAGTAGTCCCTGCTGTCAGGGTCTAGTTTTCTACAACATTTTTAAAACTTGGTTCCAGCAAAATTTGCAGCATAACAAAAYAACCAAGAATCGCTAGGATTCTAGTGTCGAGCGCTAAAGTATGATCACTTAGAACTAAAAAATATTGTATTTATAGAAAATAAATCCCCAATGTTGCCTTTATTGCACTTCTCTAAAACCTCGAATAAGTGGGGGCAAAAAAGCTAGCCGCTTATTAATTATTTTGGATCGAGGGGGGGTGCTTATTCGGGGGAGATGCGCTTAACGGTGGAAGCGCTTATTCGACCAAATATCTACTTAAGTTATAGAGCGGATTTCGTATGACTGTGCAAAAAAAAACAAGGTACGTTCGTGCTGTGTCCGTACCGTGCCGTAGCCGTGATGCATTGGAAAATCTTTACTTTCATTTGAAATCCTAGAAGGCGAGGTTCCGTGACCGTGCCGTGATCCGTGCCGTTGTACAGTCATACGAGTGAATCCGCTCTATGCTCTGCTTTAATTCATGCTGTGCGAACAATACTAATTAACTGCAGCCCGAGTAAACTCTCTAGGAGGACACTGGTGAAAAACGCACTGCGCATGTCCACAGCTTTCCCGCTGAAATCTGCCCAATTTCCTTTGTAGAAAGTTTTTTACAATTTATAAGCTCGTTCACAGATATATAAGATTCATATTTCCATCAATCATTGTTCATGACAGGTCCTTTTAGTATGTAGTTTCTATTTTTATCTTKTCATTTCTATTTTGAGAAAATGAGGTTTTTCGTAGTGTTTTCTGAGTTGTCGCTCTAATTAAAACGCCACGCTCTGTTTGCGCCCACGGGGTGACCTACGTAGCACGCAGTTGATGTAATGTATTCATAAAATTTATTGTATTCCATTGTTTCTCGTTCTATTGTATTATGTGTTTTGTATTATATCTTTATGAATATATTACATCAACTGAGTGCTACGTAGATTCTCCCTTGCGGGGGCCCACTGGCGGGAAAGCTGTGGCCATGCGCAGTGCGTTTTTCACCAGTKTCCTCTARGAGCGTCTTGTTCAAAGCTTCCGAGTAGTGACGGATGTGTCCGAAGGATACCGAAGTCTTACGACGGACTGCCGAAGATGGCGGAAGAATCCAACAGAAAGTTTTCAAGCGCTATAGTCGTGATCGTGTGACATGCYTTCTGAATTTTTTTCATATTCAGACAACCAAAACTTGATGATGTTTAGAGACTGTCCTGTACCGTGCCGTAGCGGTGATGCATTGTTAAAATCTTTATTTTTATTTGGCACAGTATTTTTTTTTCGGCAAAAAACGGCAAAAATTAAAGAAATGGACAATTTAAAATTAAACGCTAAAAATATGGGCAAATAGGACTAAATACTTAGCCCGTTTCGACCCTCGGTGAAATAATGTAAAGCATTTGGCCGGGTTCCCTGTGRTCATGTTACATAACAATCGAACGTGTACACGTGAGCTGTCAATTTTCAAAGAAATATTCTCGAAATTCCGTTTAGAAATTACTACATTTCATCCTCCCTAAGTAAAGTGCTCTGAAATTAAGAATTTCTTAGCGGAAAAAAGGGATAATTTGTAGTTTTCAGCCAAATATATTTCTCTAGTCGGATTTGTTATGTAATAGTTTTATTCTGTTGCAACGTGACTTGACTCTGTTAGCCAATCAAATCTTTCGATAGAATACCTATTTACACCTCAATATTGAAACATCAAGTAAGTTTAGAGAAAATCATGAATGCGCCAGGTAGTCCCTGTCCTTCGTCCACGAATTCGAGCCTATGTGAGTATATTTTAAGAAGTAGATTTTGTTAGTAGAGAAGGGTCGTAGCAACTAGACGTGTTTATCGCTGATGACTTATGGTTGGGTACGTTATGCGCTTTAATTGTGCTTTCAAGCAGACCGTATTTTTATTACGTTTTAGGTWAAAAACAGGGTTCCAAATTGTGATTTTGTTCGAATGTTGTCTATTTTCCAGTGACGCGTCAGTGAAGTACTGTAATTTCGTATTCTCATAATTGTGAATATTGTCAATCGAACGGTAATCATGTAAACTCAAAAACCTTGATTCCTTGCAATTTTCAGTACCAGAATAKACTATGATATATAGACTGCACATCTTCCACCAATTGCTGCTTCTTTCTAGTAACTGTCGCCGTTATACGATTGCAGGATGTTTCATGCATCTGACAGTTGACTATCATTATTTCACGATCTTGTGTCACGTGACCAGCAGTTTGTCATCTAAAGTTTTAAGCCCATTCTGAAACTTGTAATTCATTTTTTTTCCTTGTCCATTATTCCAATCCATTTAGTTATTTCTACGCGTTAGAGAAGATATGCATCGCTTACACATTGAAATATCGTGATACTAGTAAAACCTTAAAAATACAACAACAGAAAACTGAAAAATACAACACCTTCCATAAGTCACCCATAAGTCAATTCTCATGTAAATTTACTGTAAAACATGACCTCTATTAAACAGTCACCTATTGTTTCCCGAAGATGACTGCTTAACAGAGGTTCGAGTGTATGTCGTGTTAGGACCACTGGAAGTCCAAATTTTATAGATGTGCTTACATTGGCAGTAATTGACMAATGCTACTTGTGCTTTTATATGATCAAAAATCCATTCATTTACAAATATGGTATCTGTGATCTCATTTCATTTAAATGATTTAAATCAATGAAAAGTAGTCTTATAGCAGAATTATAAAACAGAAAATGCAAGTCATTCAGAGTGAGAAGTCTATAACACTTTGTAATCCATGAAATGTGCGAAAAAAGTGTTTTTACACCAGTCATGCACATTAATGTGACCAGACCACTGATAATTATACTTGTATGAGAATATGTACAAATAATGATTGGGTACCCTTGTTACAACATTTATCACAGTTTCCCCTCTTGCTTACTAATCCTCTATTTACCATTATACACTATACTATCCTGATGTCACACCACGCTTCATGCATTCCTTTGTTTTCTATTGTGTAATCTAGACTATACTGCACTATTATATAAATAAATGTGATGAAATCCTTTTTTTTTTTGTATTTTGCAGCTGATAGTGAAGTCTCAAATGACAGTGGCATTGAATCCACATCTGGGGGGAGTCTTCCCCCAGATTACATGGATCTTGATGAATTTTTAGTTGCAACTGGTGTTAAGCTTGTAGTATCAAAATGTGATTTACCAAGCAGAGTTACACAAAGAAATACAGAAGTGAATGTTGATCATGAAAATTCAAAAGAGTCAAATGCAAGGAAAACAATTGACACCAAAGACAATGTTAACAACTCTGAATTCATTATTGACAAAAAGAAAACTTCAGAAGAAAAACCTGAAAAAACACATACAGAAAAAGTTAAGAATTCAAAAACAAGTCAGGAGGATAATGACATTAATTACAAATACAACTATAACCCWTTACCAATGAAAAGAAAAGCTCAACGACAGTTTGTAACAGACACAGAAAAAGACGAAAGGTATTGGAAGCGTAGAACCAGGAATAATGAAGCTGCAAGAAGGTCACGTGATATGCGCAGACAAAGAGAAATTGAAATCTCAACACAATGCAAAGAACTTGAGAAAGAAAATGCTCGTCTGAAAAAAGAACTTCAAAAGCTTAAAGACAAAGCAAACAAACTGGAAAGACAGCTGATGGAGAAGTAAATAAGTTATTCAAAAAGTGTGATATTAATTCATAGTTCCAACAAATACACRTTATTTGTGTGTGCAGGATTGACCAATCAGAATAGGGGTCACGTAATGGCAGCCATGATGTCCCACAAAAATGTAAACAAAGTCGAACCRGAGGGCAAAGTTGAGATGGTTTTGAGGTGTTGCTAGATCACTTGTGAGCAGACCTCTACCCAGCTAGGCTAAATGGAGGACGATTAATTGATCTGTTCCCAAACTAACCTAGAAAAATGCTTGGAATGGATCGAGTTGTGCAGATGAAGRCACTGAGTGTCAAATGTAAAGCGCATAAAAAAATAATTCAGTCCTTTCTCTAGGACTTTCTCAGAAAGACTTAAATGYTTTTAACAAAAGAAACAGAAATATTATTCGGGAATTTTATACAAATCATCAGAAGATTGTGTCATTTACAAAAACTCAAAAGCATTTGTGGGACAAGCCGAAAAGTTGTGAGTGTTCGCTTTCTTCTGATTGGCTTATCGCACACTCATGCTTGATTGTTGGAACCATGAATTAATCATAAACATATAGTAACTTTATGCCTTCGTGGCATGCAAAAGTTTCTTTTACAAAATTACAATTTCAGGCAGCATGAACTGAGTTGTTATCTGTATTAAGGTGGAGCCTAGATGATGAAAATCTGCCCATGTACTTAGTTTTTGGATGAAAAATTTGCTAGTTTGAGCTTGATGGGTGTTGCCATGGCAACAATAAAAATCAAATAGTCGATTCAAGTATCTCTTCAAAAACCATATTACCTAAACTTGAGTGATGAAAATCATTAACATTATGTTCRTTAAGAGGCACTTCCCTTAAAGAAAAATCAAACTGAAACTGGAATTTTCTCCAATTTCTTGAAATCGAAAATAGTTGGACTTGTTTTGTAATACTCTAAGGTGCCCTGAATTATCAGTTGTCGTGTTATTTTAAGTGTGATTAAAAAAAGTCAACTAGAAACAAACATTGCTATGGGAACGTAAAGCCAYTGCACATGGGCTTATAAATCATGGCTATTTAAGAAGTGAAAATGTGTAGTCAATAAAACACCCTCTCCTTGAAAATGTTTTCAGCTTGTTAAAAAATCGAAAACGCTTGTTTTGAGTTGTATACGAAAACTTAAGTCTACTATAAAGCAAAATGTAATGATTAGTGCTAACACTGGAAGCGTGCCGCAAGTTCTTGGCCTGGAAACGGTAATCAGAAAGAAAATGCTGTTTTATTTAGACAAAAAATAATCCAATCRGTGTATATGCATCGCAACACGTTTTTTTTGGCTTGTAAACMGTAAGCATTACTTCCAATACTCTGTTTCGCCGTGACTTATGAAATCTCGTACTTCAATTGTTAATTGTGCTCTGATTGGCTGAACCAGAACCGGAATAAAGTGTATTTCGCGCTAAATATTGTCAAGGCGCTGTAAGGCATAGGCCGCCCAACTATTGCTTGGKAGAAAGAAAAGAAATTCGCACGCTTTTATCATCTCTTAATACTTAGCAAATGCAGATAACCTCGCGGGATCTAGTCTCCATCGCAGCCTCCCCTTTTGTTGGTCTTCCTGTCCAAGCCCGACAGAAGGGGAGGCTGCGAAGGAGACTACGCGGGATCAGTCTGTGAAAAAGTATAAAACAACAGTCACGTGACATATATGATTTTGACMTATTTCCCCGAAAAATAACAGAAAAGGACAATTTTCTTTCAAATAACAAGTCATCAGACTTCTATGTGCTTTTGATTTCAGTCTAAAATGTTCATTACATGATGAGAAAATGAACATTAACCATTTTACTCGCCGTCTTCCAGAAGTACATAATTATGAAAAATGTGAAGTGTGCATGTACAACAAGCATTTGATCTTATYAAATAAGTGATTCTTGCACTTAGGGGTAGATTGCATGGAAACGAGGCTAAAACATAATGCAAAATTTAATTGACTGGGAAAAATATGCGTCAAAGCGATAAAAATGAGTCACTACAATGCCCTGCGAATTGGAAAAGAGCACAAGAGCTGTGATAAAACATGCTATGAATTCGAACGTTATCAAAACTGAAATTGATTTGCTGAATCCTAGACTCCGGGGTAAAAGTACCAGGGATGCTCGGATCTCTTAGAGGTAAAAATTCGTTATTAAGAATCTTTTAGCGTGCCAATTTTTCTGCATCTCTCAGGGTGTCGGAAGAGTATAAAGAGTTTTCAAAACTTAGTGACCCCCCTTAGTCATCATTATCATGTCAGTTCCTAAAATCGAAAGAGCAGAAATTAAACAAATTTTAATTTGTTACTTTAAAATTAATATATTACATAGATACATGCATAGATGTTAGATAAGAAATATTTACACTAGTTACGCTGGAAAAAATGGCTCACTTTAAAAAGGTTGTAAATTTGGTGTAAATATTATGTAAATGTCAAAAATGATGTACATTTGATGTAAATTTAATGTAAATGGTTAACATCAAATTTACATCATTTTGGAAAAATTTACAACCTGCGCGATGTTTTCCAGTGTTATCGAAAATGATTACAAAATGAACATTTTTGAACATTAAAATGAATATAATTGAAACAAGCTTTGGATGTATTGTTGTGATCTGAGATGATGGCAATTATCATTCAACCTGGGAACGAAACATTGAATCACATTAAAACATTTTGCAGTGTTCGTTTGCTCTGATGTCATGTGAACAATATTTATTCATGCACTATTGTAATTAGTCTCCTCGCAGCCGTTCTTAGTGGAAAGAACGGCTGCGAGGAGACTAYATTGTAATCAGTTATTGCAAAACCAATAATTTGAAAATAGCTTTATACACTGACAAGTTTCTTTTCCCTACAAAAAAAAAAACAATTACCAAACGACTATTTGCACGTTTGAAAATGTTTTCCAGAACAAAACTTGTTAACACTTTCACTTTTGCATAAGTCTATAACATTTCGTCAGAAGTACTTCAATCTTATTTCGTGTAAATGTGCAACCAGGATAAAACTCTTACTAGTTTAGTCTTTCACTGCTCACTTCCTAGCAGGAGCAAAAGCGTCCTCAGGACTGAACTTTTTCTTGACTGTAGAGACCTTGCCTTGTTGTTTAATGCTTCGCTTTTGTTTCTCGCATTGCTCACGCAATTTAAAAAGTTCCTGGAAATAATCAAGATTACGGACGATTACAATACGGACCGAGCCCGAAGGCATAGCCGGTAAATAACATTTTTAATTTTTTTTATTTGTATTTTCTGCAACTTTGCTCGCAACCTACAATTGTAGCTGCTGGATACCGTGGACCGGGCAGATCGTGAAAAACCGGACCGCCAATTACAGCGCGCGAATGACTAGTATCCTACAGGATCGAAAAAAAATAAATAATATGCACTCCTATAACACTACTATATCATATTTGATTAGACTTACAGACTTAAGATCAATATTTTCTTGTTTGAGTTTGAGTACATGATGGATTTTCTGCTTTTGATTTTGGTGGCCCAGCAGCTTGGCATACTGGGCACTTAGCGTTGACACCTGAGAGAGAAATAGACTATTATGTTATGCATACACACCTATTCTGTTATCAACATTATCATTATTACAGCCACTTGCAAAATTTCTGACCACCAACATATTTAACAAATAGATCCAAATAGACGCCAAAATGTGATGAAAAAAAAGGTACGCCAACGAGACTGCGAACTAAAACGAATCTCGACTATTAAGAATATTTTGAAAAACAGCTCTATGAACTTGAATTATTTTCTTGTGAGCGCCAGACCTCATTTTGAACTTCACTGTGCTTGCTTAAAAGGAAATTCTTTTCTGCTTCAAAAGCATCCAGCTGTTCCTAAAAGGTAAGAATATCTTTTAAAATTTGGGAAACAATAGCTCTGAACACAGGTAAAATTAGATTTCCACAACGTAACATGGTATCGGTACCATGATTGTAAAGGTTATGTATAAAAAGTATCGTTGTAAAAAGATTGTTTGTTGTCAAGGATGTGCATGTTTGCTTTTTTGGTATTTTTTGACGTATAATTTTCTTTTTTCTATATCTTACATAATATGTAATTATAAAAAAAATATAATATTTTATTACAGGAATTGAAAAGTGTGTGTTGTTGTTGAGAAATAAAAGAAAGTTCACCTTGAATGGCTCAACTTTTTCCTGAAGCTCTTCATACTTCATTTTCCACCTTAGTTTGAGACAAAAAATGTTACAAGAAATTTAGTGTTTCCACCCAATCCAAACAACCTGGGAGTCAAATTATKATTTTTTACACAGGATTTGGACTTTTGGTGGCAAAATTACAAATGATTTTGCAACTTGATTTTTATTTTTCTGGGCCAAATGGGAAATCCAATTTGCTTTTGAAGTGTGCCAAAAACTCTGAAACCAYCTCTTTTTTTGCTTTCATCMGAATCTTAATTTTGCTATTTCAAACACCTCYATTTTCAATGTTGCAAGAACCTCTATTTTTCAATGTTGCAAGAATGAAATTTTAAAAATATTTACATCATGCATTTAGACAGAAAGTAAAACATACTTTTGTATTTCTTCATCATTTATCTTTAGACTATCTCCATCATGCTCTTTTAAACTTAAAAAAGAATCACATTATACAAAGAGATGTTACCTACATATTGTCAAAAGGTACAATTTTCACATTATATCATATGTATTTATGATTGCTTGTCTCTATTTGCAATCTTTGACATTATACATTTCCATCGATGTCCAATAATCTAATTTATTTTGTACGATAATTTATCATGTTTTCGGCCCCCTCTTGCGTCAAAGCAACCAAAATGCGTTGTCTTACAATAAGTGAATGTACCGTAAATTTCAATGGTCAAAGGGGGGGGGGGCGTTTAATAGACAGGAGGCGTTTATTTTATTCTAAAATAAAACTGTAACAATGTAATGTACCGCATATTATGATTTATAACTTTTACGACCTGATATAGTACGCAATAAAATGCAGTAGAATTAAAGAACGCTATACTCATTTTGAACTAGAAATGGAACAAAACGTTACTCACTTAGTAGTGTTAATGAAGCAAGAAGACAAATTAAATTGATTTATGTTACCGTCATTCCTAAGTCGTTTGTTTCTAGTGATGGATGGTGACACGGAGGGCGTTCTTTAGAAAGGGGTCGTTTATTAGATCATTTACGGTAAATGTTTTTGTTTTGTTGAAAAGTTGGACTTATAATCATATTAGGCAAAAGAAATAGTCATGAAATCATTCTATATAGCCTACAAACAACTGAGTAGTACAATATGTGTAGCCCTTGCTTCTACCTGAACTCATGAATTATTTCTTCCAAATCATGYACTTTCCTTTCCAAATCTGAGTTTGTAGTACGGAGGTCTTGTGCAGTTTTGGTAAGATTTGAAATGTTTTCTTCATAGTGTTTTATACATTCAGCATACTTCTCCTCATGAGCTTTTATTTTCTGGAAAATGCAAAATCAATTGGTTACCRAGCTGTGATGAGCAAAGAAAGAGAGCTATCAACAGTAGTAAAAGGAGATATATATATCCCTGCGATTATTACTCATATTCCAACTTTACCCTTGTTAGTACCCACTGATTTACAAAGAACAAAAATTGTTGTTTATATACAACCACAGTTTTATACAATGCACTCTACGATTTATCAAACAAACGCTCATAACATCTGACTTATTTAATTATAAACTACAATAAAATACCAGGTCAATTTCTAGCACGAAAAAGAGATATCTTTCACGTATGAATTAACATGTTACCATGGATACTTCATAAAAAATTCTCCTATTTCTTTGGCCTTATAGAATCATATAAGTTTGAGTTTATATAGTAAACAGAACATTACATGTGAGCTTGTCAAGGATATACAAATTTTAACTTCTCGTGGTGATATATCAATGGAACACTGCAGATAAAATCCATTTATCATATAATTATCTATGAAATACCTATATTTCTCCATTTCGTAAAAATTGAAATTTTCTTTGAGGTTTCTCTATACAGTGGAAGTAAGAAAAAAGGTATTTTACAGCATAATTTGCTTTCATATACAATTATATGATAAATAGAATATTACATGTTCGCTTGGAGATACGAATTTTATCTTCGCTATGCTCACTTGTGAGAGATCTTTTCAMCACTCGAAGATAAAATCCGTATCTCCGCGCGCCCATGTAATATCCTCTATATCTCCATGTGCCTAATACAATATCCTTATTTATATCCTAGAGAAATTGGACAATRCCTGGGCATTGCATGTCAAACTATTCAAAATCTTGAAAATTGTAAAAAAAACTTACCACTATTTTGAGATCTAATTTATTGGATAACTCCATCTTTTCTCTTTGAAGTCTTCTGATTAATTCTTTTTGAAAGACAAAGATAAGGAAATGAGCAAGGAATAGCTATTTGGAAAAGTTATAGTATATTATACTGTAAAACTCTGCAAATTAATAGGAACCTGAACTGAACCTGACATTTCAGCATATTAGATGCTTTATTTCCAAGTATAAACTAAGTTGTATAATCTGTTTTATTTTCTTGAAAACAACAAAACGTAGCACTATGAATGTTGGAGTCCTTAAACTACATTCATATATATTCATGTATTAGCTAGTATGAAAAAGTGTGAATTATTTCATAAACGCCACACTCACAAATTCATGTAATTTCTATTTTTCTCACCAAAAATGAACTCATTTAGAAGAGTTTAATTACAAGGTTCGTATATGCAGGGTTTTAATGTATTGGCTATTTAGTATATTATGTATTTACCCTGTATGTGGTTCGTATATGCAGGGTTTTAATGTATTGGCTATTTAGTATATTATGTATTTACCCTGTATGTGGTTCGTATATGCAGGGTTTTAATGTATTGGCTATTTAGTATATTATGTATTTACCCTGTATGTGGTTCGTATATGCAGGGTTTTAATGTATTGGCTATTTAGTATATTATGTATTTACCCTGTATGTGGTTCGTATATGCAGGGTTTTAATGTATTGGCTATTTAGTATATTATGTATTTACCCTGTATGTGGTTCGTATATGCAGGGTTTTAATGTATTGGCTATTTAGTATATTATGTATTTACCCTGTATGTGGTTCGTATATGCAGGGTTTTAATGTATTGGCTATTTAGTATATTATGTATTTACCCTGTATGTGGTTCGTATATGCAGGGTTTTAATGTATTGGCTATTTAGTATATTATGTATTTACCCTGTATGTGGTTCGTATATGCAGGGTTTTAATGTATTGGCTATTTAGTATATTATGTATTTACCCTGTATGTGGTTCGTATATGCAGGGTTTTAATGTATTGGCTATTTAGTATATTATGTATTTACCCTGTATGTGGTTCGTATATGCAGGGTTTTAATGTATTGGCTATTTAGTATATTATGTATTTACCCTGTATGTGGTTCGTATATGCAGGGTTTTAATGTATTGGCTATTTAGTATATTATGTATTTACCCTGTATGTGGTTCGTATATGCAGGGTTTTAATGTATTGGCTATTTAGTATATTATGTATTTACCCTGTATGTGGTTCGTATATGCAGGGTTTTAATGTATTGGCTATTTAGTATATTATGTATTTACCCTGTATGTGGTTCGTATATGCAGGGTTTTAATGTATTGGCTATTTAGTATATTATGTATTTACCCTGTATGTGGTTCGTATATGCAGGGTTTTAATGTATTGGCTATTTAGTATATTATGTATTTACCCTGTATGTGGTTCGTATATGCAGGGTTTTAATGTATTGGCTATTTAGTATATTATGTATTTACCCTGTATGTGGTTCGTATATGCAGGGTTTTAATGTATTGGCTATTTAGTATATTATGTATTTACCCTGTATGTGGTTCGTATATGCAGGNGTTAGATTATATGTGCAAGCGGTTTTTGGTGCTCAAATTAAGTAAGTTATATCAATTCTTCTACTTCAAGAACCTTTGGCAGTTTTAATCTGGTTTAAATTTGCTTTTGAATTTGAAAATCTTCACCTGATACACTTCAAAACTTCTCAGTTAAATGAGCTTGTTGACAATGAAAATATGTGTGAATTGTGTACACGTACTAGCTTACATTCTATCCACAATAATAATCTTCTTTGACATAAACTACTCGGATGTTTTAATTCATAAAACTATGCATTTTGAAAAGAGAGCCTTGATATTATTTGAATGTTCAGATTTTTACTCTTTATTCTTCAATAAACTCTTTAATACAAACTGTCAACAAATACAAAGAGCAAAGATAAGCAAAGAATTTGAAGTGTTGAAAAATGAATAATCATTATGAACATTATGATTCCTTTAATACAAAACTGTCAAAATGTATTTATTACTTATCATTAATGATCACTGTATGTCAAAAATGTATTGATTAGTGTCATTCCTGTGTGATTAAATTGCTATTTTACATATGTTTCCTGTGTGATTGAAAAACCACCAAAACTGGCAAATTGCATAAATGACCCATAAATCATTTTTTTGGATCACTGTATGATTGAAAAATATCAACTGCCAAAATGCATTCATTATTATTTATCATTCCTGTGTGATTAAATATTGGGCTAACTCGTGGGATATATAAATTCAAAACTTGAAGATAAAATTCATATCTTCAAGCGACAGCTGTAATGTTCTGTCTATTAAATGACACTGGTGTAAGCAAAAGTCTGTAGTTACATAATCATTAGAAGATCAAAAAGTTTGAACATTTCAAGAATATTAATTTATGATTTCTGCATGATTGAATAATACCAAAACTGTCAAAATGCATTTATATTATTTGATGATTCCTGTAAAGATTGAAAAATACCAACTATTAAGAATTTAAAACAACAAAATTGCAAACAATTTCTATTGACATATAAAGATGCATTTGTTATCATTTTTATTATTTCTGCATGTCGTGATTGAAAAATTTCAAAACTGTCAAAATGCATTTGTTATTATTTTATGATTCCTTTAATGATTGAAAAATACCAAG